TGGTCATCAGACGCTGCCGTCAAGCACTACCTTGCAAGAATGAGCGCCAAAATACCACATTTCGAGACAATGGAGGAACCTGACCTAAACTATATCAAAATGATCAATGCTGGCGAGAGGATCAATGTTAACAACTGTAGCTTTGGCTACCTTTCTCACAGGTACGTAAGGTATTTCTCAGGCTGTTTGATCTTCCATAAATGCCCATCTCGGGAACAGGCAAGTCCAGTGGGAGGATGCCGGTGAATGGCTTCTGTTCAGTGTGTCTTCTGCTTCACCGATACTTTTCTTAGGAGCAAGCCAAGGGTAATGTGAGCCAATCAAACAGGAGAACGCCGTTTGACTGGCTTGTTGTCAGCGTGTCTTATACTTCATAGATAACGATCTTGGGAGCAAAGCAAGAGCCATTGCAGCGACTCAAACAGGAAATTGTTGTTCGATCTGTTTCTGCATGCTGTTGGCACAGTTTATGTCAAATATTGTCTGAAGAAGGGGAGCTTACCTCTCAATACATGCAGGATCGTCTTTTTCCTACTAAATTTGCACATCAAATCAAGACATACATACTTTGCGAGAGCCGGCACATCCCGAGAAGAAGATTCCTACAAGACAGACGCCTCTCTATCGGGACAAGGAAAGGAGTATGCAAAGAAGATGTCAGAAACTCTCATTCATCACCGAGAGGGAGAAAGGCGTGAGTGATATCGCAGTGTCTTTCCCTTGTTAGCACAGTTGGAGTCGCAAGACGTTTTGGGGAACGAAATGATCCTGTCCTACCCTGGAGATTTTCGTCTAGCCCATGTCTCTTACTTACCTTGAAGAGCAGTGCTAATTGTGAATATAGAAGCTATGATCGATCGCGGTGGACCAGACATTCCATTGAAAATGCTGACGATATGGACTTCGACCAGGAAAAGAACGATAGAGACGGGTCACTTTCTTGAGGAAAAAGGCTACAGAGTACGTCAGAGGTCTCAGCTGAGTCAACTCAATCCAGGGGTTTGTGAGAAAAAGTCCGAGAGGCGGATCAGGCTTGAGTATCCCGATGAGATAGCGAAACATGAAGCGGACCCATATCATCATCGATATCCGCGGGCTGAGGTTAGTGACCCACCACATCGATGCTTGCTCTGTGCTGATTCTTCCAGTCGTACCACGATCTTGCAGTCAGGCTCGAGCCCGTCATACTCGAACTCGAAAGGGAGCAGAACGATCTGCTCATCATTGCACATGAGAGCGTCCTAAGGGTGCTCTACGGGTATATAATGGCATGCAATGCTATAGATATCCCAAACCTTCAATTCCCTAGGAACGAAATCATCGAAATCATCCCCGCTAGTTACAACAATGAAGCTACGAGAATCAAGATACCTGGACTTCCTGAAAATTTCGTCCCAAGCTCTCCCGAAGACATCAGAATTCCCGTTCCTCCTAGCGGCTCTGTGACGCCGATGGGCTTAGACACTCCAAGGACTGGCACAAGCTCCCCACGTATGGCAACTGGCTCGCCACGTAATGGCCTCTCGACACCCTCTGAACCCGGCGAGGGAAAGCAGTTGCTAGTCGAGAGAGCACTTCGAGATTGATGTTGGAGTCAGGATTGAGTCGACGATGCAACCTGGAACTCCTACCTTTCCCCAGGCATAAAGGGCTTAGGACGGTCGGTACTGCATGTCTACCAGCGCTTCGGGTGTGCCGGATCAGCGAGCAAAGATCACTGCACTCCTCGAGACGTCCATCCCAGCTGCCAGCCGCCACGTTTCCGTGCCTAACAACGTTCAGGTAGACGAGCTGCATAAATCATAGAAGCTGCATTTTGTTTACGCGAGAAGGAGACCATTGAGGGTTGTGCGTGGCTTATCAGCGACCATTGTCCCTCGGGTACAATGTTTTCCTGTCAATCTTTGGCCTCACTGAAGCACGGTGACCTTTGCCCTTTAGGTGATTGATCCATTGACTATGGAACATGAGCGTTTTGTCACAAGCCTCGCAGTATCTTGCAGATTTAGCCTCCTCTTCAGGTGATACAAGCATTTTCATGGCAGCATCTGATAGCGAGTCAGGCCTAGGGAGCGCAAAATTGTTGATAAATGCTGCCGTAATGTCTTGAGCTTTTGCATCTACAGCTTCCGACCACCGCAAAGAGTCAGTTGCATCGAGCAAGAACATGTAATGCGTGAGATCCGCGGCATTGACAGCGCGCTGCAGCCGAAGCCTGATCCACCGAACTTGGCGTTTGGCGTATTGTCTTGTTGCGATTTTTGTACGCTCAATGCCTTCCTGCCTCAGCTTCTCCGGGCGGTTTCCGTCCAGGATATATGGCAGGAATTCTTTGAAGCCAATGGCAACCCATATACCACGACTCTGATCGATACTACCACCTTTCCGTTCCTGATCCTGATGGAAGTTTTGCATGGAAGTGACCTCTTCAAGCAAGCCATGCGAGACCATGCTATCCACACGGTGCTCCAGCCTCAAGTTGAGCGAATCTGAGGGCGCATGAACCCAAAAGATAAGCGTGTCGTATCGGACATGAGATTGTGCTGAGGCATCAGACCCGATTGGCACAGCACTCCTATCCCACCCACCAGACTCGATATCAAGACTTTGGGTCTTCTGCTGCTCGTATATTTCAGAGGCTCTCTTACCGGTTTTCAACCATATCTCAAGACTGCGCCTAATTTTCCTTCGGTCACTAGGGTGCCATCGCATGGCCATTTCTGGGTCCAGCTTCCGGAGTTCCTTCAGCATCTCCTCTGTGCTTGCATCGAGCAATTGCCATTTCTGGGCCTGATTCTCAAGTGTAGCATCGCCTGTCTCCTCCTCTTCGACTAATGCATCGCTAAATAGAAGAGATTGTGTGTAGTAATGCGTTCCGCCAACCAGAATAGGGAGCCGTCCCCTTGATCGAATCTCTTTAATGACACCAGTAGCTAGCTCTACAAATTGTTTGACCGTCCACGGTTCTTCCCCTAGTTTGATACAACCCAGTAGATGGTGTGGTACGCCTTTCCTCTCTTCTAATGGCAGCTTATTCGTAGTGATTGGCAAACCCTCATACATCTGCAGAGCATCTCCGTTGATAATCTCTCCATTGAATCGTTGAGCTAATGATACAGCAAGCTGAAAAATGACTCATTATCAAAGATGAGAACACAGCGGGGAGGACTGACTTGAGATTTGCCTGTGCCTGTAGCTCCCACTACAGCGACCAGACGAGGTCGTGGTAGAGCTGACGACATTGTGATCCACCGTTGCGTCGCTCGTAGCATGGAGTTGGTGAAGATCCTGGTAGTAATAGCATGGCTTGGTCAAGTGCTCAAGGGCAATTCAGTGGTGGAAAACAGAATGAGTATCGAGGCATCGAGGCATCGAAAGGGATTTGGCTCCTATCTCAGCGTCCTAGCGATGAGGGCAAACCCTTAGGCTGGTGGTCAAAATAAGTGGCAGTCCTGGCGCTTCGAACTGTCAACGAGAACCTGACAACAAGAGGTTTTGAGAAGATTATTCTGGCTACGAAGTTGCTTATTTCAATATTAACTACATTTAATTACGCAGAAGGAAGTTTTCAAATCCTCGCGTTGTTGACTTAGCCCTTGATGTTCTCGTAGCCCACCTCGGCGGGACTGCCATTTATTTTGACTCATCCTCACTCCAAAACTTACCACCACGCCCCCCCCCCCAAAAATTGCTCTCTCTCTCTTGATTTCAGCGGATACCATATTCTTGACTCATCATTCAGAGTGTCTGTGTCTTGAGATCTTCTCCATTGACTCTCTATCTCATTCGATGGGAACCTACAATGGTATACCGAAAGAGCAAGCGCCTTCCATAGAAGTCAAGTCGCTCTCCTATGCATTCCAAGATGGTTCCTCTGGCCTCCGGGACGTAGTTCTTAGCCTTCCGCCCGGCAGTCGAACATTACTAATCGGCGGTATACGGTCCTTCTCTTGTCTCCTCATCCTGTCTCTTACCTGATCTTTGACCTCTTCTAGCGAATGGCGCTGGTAAGACAACACTACTCCGCCTGCTCTCTGGCAAACGGATGGCCCCAACCGGCACAGTCAGCATCGCTGGAATCGATCCATTTACCTCTGGCCTCGAAGGCGTCACCTATCTCGGTCTCGAGTGGGTGCTCAACCCCATTGTACGCACCGATATTGACGTACCCACTCTCCTCGCCTCCGTAGGCGGCGATTACTACACCGAGCGAAGGGACGAGTTGGTGGAAATTCTTGACATTGACCTGGCATGGCGGATGCACGCTGTCAGTGATGGGGAAAGGAGAAGGGTGCAGCTCGCCATGGGACTTCTGAGGCCGTGGCGGGTGCTGTTGCTGGACGAGATCACAGTTGACTTGGATCTGTTGAGTAGGAGTAATTTCCTGGGATTTTTGAAGAGGGAGACGGTGAGCAGGGCTTGCACGATCGTGTATGCAACGCATATCCTGGACAATTTGGCCGACTGGCCAACGCACCTAGTGCACATGCACATTGGAAGAGTCAAGGAATGGGGTGGCGTCGGGAAATTCAACGTTGGTGGAATGAAAAAGAGTGGGAACAGTCAACTGGGAGAACTGGTGCTGGAGTGGTTGAAAGATGATTTGAGAGAAAGAGGCCCACGGGGAGGACGACCGAGTGAGGGGAAGACTTACGAGAGTCTGGAAGGTAAAGGTGGTTATGGGAATGAGAAGAGGACCTGAGCTGCTATACCCTTGGGAGGCAATTTCAACATGCCTAAACATCCAATTCCGGCGCAAAATGCATTTTTGATTGAAGTTTTCCAGATTTGATCTACGCAAATCCAGACATCGAGAAGAGCCTCAACGAGCTGTCATCGCTTGCTACTGCCAATTGCCGTTTGTCCTGATTTGTCTCGTCCGCAGAAATATTCTTGAGGGTGGGTCGCCATGCAAGATGAGTAACCGATCTCGAGGGTTGTAGACTGTCCAATTTGTTATTCAAAATGTCGAAACAGCCGCAGCAAATGCCACAAGTTGCTTACGAGTTATCAAGCTCGAACTTTTGCTTCACCGTCCAATTAGGAAGCTTCAATATGTGGAGAGTGATGTTACCCGTCTCGGTCCCAATTGCTGTCACCATGTTGTTTTGCGAAAACCGAGAAGATATGTCGACCGCCGTTACAGAAGAAGCTGCTGTTATCGTTGTCGTGCATTCTGTACCCGTTGCGCTTATACTCCATATCTTGACCGTTCTGTCTCTACCAGCCGTAGCGAACACCCTCCCAGCTTCTAGAGGAGCCCAACAAGCATCAAGTATCATCCTTGAATGGCCTTTGGGATTTGAATGCTTCAACAAGTACTCTTCAGGTCGGACACAATCTCTCTCGAATACCGCCCACTGCCTGTCTCGGCCAACGCTGATGAGATACCGGTCGTCGCTTGAGAAGCACAAAGCAGTAACCGTTAGCGAATGAGCAGTCAATGATGGCCTTACCTCACGCCAGTCTTTGGTCGTGTAAAGGCGTATTACTGCATGTTCTAATGAGCTTGCTCGACAAGACGTAGCAACCACCGTGCCATCATGACTGGATGCGACAGCAGAAATCTCATAGCCGTGTCCATAAAGCTTCTCTTTCTCTGGCCAGAGCGTATGTCTTGCCAGCTGATCCTCCAGAGGTGGATGATCTTCGTTGAGCGTCTGGCCATGTGCTGTAGATGTTAGATTCTCTGCGTCGGCATGCCCATTGGTATTAGGCACTTCATCTGCGGCACTTTCAATTGCCTTGTTCGACAGTCCCAGGACCGGAATGTTTGCAGCATCTGGCAAAGTTTGCTCAACGTTGGTGTGGATACCGCACAGAGCGTCAAGTAGATCGGCTGTCGCTCTAGGTTCTTCGAATACGCGAAGGAGCTTTTCATCAGCTCCAGAGATGAACTCGATTTGACCGTTTGAATCTATGCAGTTCAAGCAGTAGCCGTGAATTTGTGGCCTTGCCATCTCATGCCAAGAACATTTCCTTCCACGCTTCCACGCCGCATGCAGTCGTGTAGTCTGATCCGATCCAGTGGAAAAGAGATAGGAGCCATCCTTCGACCAGGCCACGTCCGCTACCGCTTTTGTGTGTCCACTAATGCCAATTCCTTGCAGCCAGCGATCCTGGTCCAAATCGTAGTTCCACAGCCTCCAACTCCCCGTCCGTCCAAGGCTTATTAGCTTATCTCCTTTCGGTGACCAGAGGCCGATGTAGAAGCCACCCGTACTTCCAGTTGCTGTGGTAGATCCTTTCTGCGCACTTATCTCACCCAGTCGAGTAGTACACACCCACACTCCTGAACTCTGTTCGGATTCCCAGATTGCTAGAGAGTTATCCGCAGACGCAGAAAGCAGCTGAAGACGCTCTTCACCAAGACGCCAGGAGATAGTGTATATCCAGTCTTCGTGACCCAAGAGTAAAGCCTCAAATGAGACTGAGTATGAATTCTGTGAAGTTTTGAGTTTGTGTGCCTTGTTAGACAGGAATTTTTCGAGATTCCCGGAAGCTGATACGCTTTCCAAATTGTCTTTCGGTCTCTCTTGTATTATACGCCACAGCCTGATATACTTGTCTTGACTTGCGGACGCCAGAAGGAGATCGCTGTCCGCCACGTCGCTCTCCTGTGTGATACTCAAAGATCGTATCCAGCCTTCATGGCCGGGCAAGGTGACTTGATGGAAAAATTGGCTATCGGTCGACGCCACGTAGATCTGCACAATGCTCTTGGTACCGGCGGCAGCAAGTACGAGGTCTTCTGCCGCACCTAACGAGTGCAGTGCCAGTGCAAGTGGAAAAAATCGGGGCTTTGTTTGGATTGTCTGCAGTTTTTTCACACTCATTCCATACCCTAGGCTTTCAATACGCCAGATTCTGATTGTTGCATCAGCAGATCCTGAAGCGAAGATATCTGTTCCTTTGAAGACTGCAAGGCAGTTTATAGAGCTCTCATGGCCCTCTAAAGTAGCTGCTAGATCAAATCCGGTAGGAGATGCTGTTTTAGCTTGCCACACCCGGATAGTCTTGTCTACAGAACCACTAAGTATTGTTTGAGAAAATGCTTCCTGGGCTGGGAAGAATCTGACTACGTTCACGATATCGGTGTGACCATGCAACAATGCCGTGACGCCTTGGTAGCCATCATCCTGTCTGCATAGTGAGCAATTTTGATTTGCCGATTAGAGATCAACCGTACCAACGGTGACCAAAGTGCTACATTCCTATCTGCGCCGAAGGCAAGTAGTCCACTTGCCAGATCCCAATCAGCAGCCGACGGATGGCGATTACCGCCAGCAGCAAGGTAGTCAGTGTTCCAGTCCACCATTAGGTTTCGAAAGGAAAAAAAAGGAAGTGTATACTTATCGAAAAGACGCAGAATGACTGGCTCTTCTCTTTGATACATCTCCAGACGCTCGCTTGCCGCGCTTAGCAATAGAAGGCAAAAAAGGCCGCTGCGACCTTTGTAAAATATAAATGTTTCCCATCAGTGTCGAACGGTCAACACGTCGTGCTATTTATACTCCGCCTACGGCGATGGATACTAAGTCGTGTGATGGAGCAAAGGTCCCGGTCATCGTAGAGTTTACGTCAGTCACATTAGATCTCTAAAGCTTGTCCTCAAATTAACCATTTTTAATCAACCGTAGAGGTGGCCTTGAATCACTTTTCTCAGATCAGCGAAAGCACCTGGTTTCCCTACCAAGCACCGATGAGAACGGCCAATCAGCAAATCTGGCCTTCCTTGTACGATATCTGTGCGAGAATCTGATGGCGGATAAAAGAAAAGAGATGTTTGTCATGGACGGCACAGTGTCAGTGGATTCGTGTCTTGCAGTGATGCGGGTGAGAGGTAGTTGAGCTGACGAGTGAAGACGGCCTGGAATCCTCGTTTTGATCAACGACGCCGACTGGGAACTAGAAGGCGAGGATCAGTACGAATTGAAGAGGAATGACAACATCCTCTTCGTTTCTACGCTTCACGGTGGCTGAGAGATACCTCTTGTGGACAGAACCAATCGGCTAAATGTCTACTGAATACGACAGCTTCTGATTGCAAGATTCGAGGCCAGGTCACTCATATACATTTCCACCGATCAGTGACATGGAGCAAGATCGGAAAATTCGACTCTTATGCCGCCCAAGGAAAAGCAGAATAGCCCTTTCAAAAAGTAAAAGAGCTGAAAGGGCTATTTTGCAATGGGATCTTGCACTGACGTTTGACTGCATCAAGGGGATTTTTAAGGATGGGTTGGGTTACAGTTTGACATAATTGTGATTTAACTGAGACCGTTGAAGTACCGTCTCTTACGATGGGAACGATCTCTCGGAGTGTGTATCCAACCTTCTTGACACTCCGTGACTGCTCGACACTCCTGGATCGAGCGGTGATACGGCCATCCGGAAAACCTGTCATTGTCAGTATCTTGTAGTACAGAATACCTAGCAATGGCTATAATTGACAGGTCTCTTGGTTGATTGACTCTACCAGCCTGGTTTTTGCTGCTTCTACGTCTGCCTCATTCGCTTCCCTACTGTTTCGCCATTCAATGAATTCTGGGGAGAGAATATCGCCACAACCGGATTCCTCATTCTTGAATATCTCAATCACTGGGGACCTCTCCCTTCGCCTTATTCGCCAAACACCATCAGTTGTGATTGTTTGTTTTAGCCCTGAGCAAGCATTAGTTGGTACCAAATCGCAGGCCGTAAAGCTCTCACAGTCGAGAAATGCGGCTGTGAAGTTGATGCAAAGATTACCATCCCATATTCCTTTGCCTCGTTTGACCATTCCCGGAATGTTCTTGGTTTCTAGCTCTTCAAATCTTTGCAAGATCCCATTTTGACTGCGGAAACCCACAATAATCTTGGGAACTCCAAGTAAGAACGACTGTATCCAAAATTTTAGTAGTTTGCGTTCGTATTTGAGCGTATCCTTGTCGTTTGCGATCTCTGCCGAGGTCTTCAATTCTACCCAGTTGATGGGATCATCCCTGTTGTCCGGCTTGCAGTCCCATACTGAGCAGCTGTAAGCAAGTGGTTACGATGGCTGTAGGCCTGGGAAATAACGCAACGTACAGGCATCAACCTCTCCTCCGATGAGCATCCTTGCTTTGCCAATGCCAGTTTTCACCACAGAGCAGTATTGGGCGTAATTATTTACTACCATGTTTTCGCGGGTTTCAATGACTTCTCGCGAAGTCGAATCCCACTGATCAGGAATCAATGACAAAGTTTCAAACTTATAGCCTTCAAGGACAGAAGATCAGCAAGCTAAGATCTTCGGGAAAGCGGCCAACATACCCCAAAAACTCATGAGATCCTGTGAAGGAGCACCACGTCGCGAGGGCTGAGCGTGCTGCTGCTTCCTCGATTCGAGCTTGTGCTCGTGGTTCTCCTCGATGAAGCTGCAATGGTTGGTACTAGAGCATTGCTAGCGCCTGGCTCTGGGCAACTTACATGCTGTCCTTCATTAGCCAAAAAGTCAGCCAGTACAGTTCAAGCTACAGCTGCCTAGGTTTGCCCACTTGGAATCTGGTCGCGTTCATCTCGAAACTTTAGGTAGTCAGACCAGGCCCTTCATATTGGACCACGACAAGTGTCTCACCCGCTCATGTTGTCAAAGGGCGCCGCCATGATCTGTCAATGTTTAATGCGTTCTGGATTACCGAGCCAACACATTCGAACCTTGGTCATCATTCCTCTTCAGCATGGTAGGAGTCAGCGTAATGTTTTGGGCAGAGACATGAACTAAAAGACAGTTCTAGGCTTTGCGGCCCAAATTATGGTACCGACTAAAAGAAAAATTGTTCTAGAGTAAACATACCTCCATGTCACAACTTCAGCAGTGCATTTGGTGCCAGTCCGTTGTTCAAGATCTATTATGGTCTTAAGGAGACCGTCTAAATGATCGTCTGCCGTATCATCGAGCTGTTGAAAGGTATCAAACCCTTTCGAAAGGTCCACTCCGAGGTTTGGGGGATAATAATATCTCAGCGACCGCTCATCCAAATGGAAGACGTGGTCGTCATCGTAGGAAAAATAGGCAATTTCCTTAGATGCTTTCAGCCATGTACATTAATTGTAAGACATTCAACGCACTTTGGGCCTCCGAATTGCTGCGCTGGAACCCGCGAACCTGCTCATGGGCTGAATAGCAAAGTTGCTCATGGTTGTTGGTGGTCAAGCGATTTGTCAGATTGACAGGCAATTTCGTTGGGTGATAAGTTTCCTTCATCCACAGTCGAGGGGTTCGAGTCGAGATATATGATAAGTGTTCAGCAAAAGGCCCAGAAAATTGTTCGAGCCCCCAGAATCTCTTATTAATTATAGTTGCTCTAGGTGTTCAGTAGTCAAAATGGTTGGACTGCTGCAGGTACTCTACCACTTGTTTTGAAAGCCCACCTCTCATAAGGTGACTCTGGTAGAAACTTGAGAAGGGAATAACATCAGTAGCACAACTAAGCACTTCTGCGCGTCTCAGGCGTCTACTAGCTCAGCCCTATTTGAGGCTCGTTTGATAGTTCCTCAATACCTAAGTACCACGTCGGACAATCAAATAAGATGGCTTCGAAGTCGACAGCATCACGCTCAGCAGCGACTGGCACTTCAAGTGTTTGTCGAAGTCTATTCCATCACACTCTCAGCAGGCGGCCAACAAGCGCTTCAACGTCTACATCCGCGACAACGCTGCAAGAAGGCTCTCAAGACGAGAGCTCGGACATTGTAGTCAAAGATCGCAATGGCAATTACCAAGTCCAGGTTCCGCTTCTACCGCCTCTAGATGAAGACCAAGCACAAGAGGAGGACTCGGGCAATGAGAAAGAGAGTACGGTCGGTCCCCTTTGGTATCAGGAAGCGATGGCTAACGCCCGCACAGAACTCGATGCCAGACTACTAGAGATGTATAGGGATAGGAGTCTACAGCCTCACGATCCCGCAGGTCAGTCCCCAATCATCAGTCTACATTTGAAGCAAGATTTATCTGAACGGGTAACAGAGCTCTTGAACGCGGTGCATGCAAGCCTGAGGCGCAAGGTAGCTTCCCTAGACGAGGACAACTGGATCTTCGAAGCTGAACAGGAATCAACAGGCGGCTGAAGAGATGTAACAAGATACTTTGCGTACATCACGGCGTTCTGGCATATCATTCTGCAAGTCATATACAAAATCGCTCTTTCAAAATCCCACAATACGCTCTATTTACATCAGTCCACGGCTGGTGGCACTGGAGCATCCACCTTCCTAGGCTTTGGTTTCGGGCTTCCCCCGAATCCCATCAAGCTCCCCATTACGTCCATTAAAGGATTCCCCGGCCTCGGTATCCGTATCCCAAAATACATCTCGCCTATCTGCGCCAATGCATCATCCCAAGTGCCAACCTCCTTCACATACGGCGCATAGTGCTTAGCCAACTGCTTATACAGATCTGAGCTACCCCTCTGAACCGCCAGCAAGAGAAGACCAAGGAAATTGAGGAGAGGCAATGAGGGATAGACGCGCATGTCGGAAGAGGTGCTGCTGACTTCCTGTACGCTGAGTGATCTGTTGGAGGAGCTGAGGCGGGAGGTGAATATGAGATACGCCTTATTGGCGGAGCGGAGGTTGCTAGTCAGGAGGTAGGGGAAGACGGCTCTTGCAGCGTAGAGAGCGGCGGTGTGGGATTCGTCCTGGGTGTACCATTCATACTCAACTTTGGCAAGCTGCTCAGCGGAGTCTTTGGTACCGAGGGCGAGATGGCGCTCTGCGTCGTATGGCTCGCCTTCTGCAGACACGTATGAGTTACTATAGACCCAAAAAGTACGTAGAGATCATGCAGGCACTCTATACCTTCTGCAAACAAAGTCCCAGCTACATGGTGCAGTTCTGGATCTCCATTTGGGTAGTCTCCAGCCTTTCCACTCCATGCAACCATCTCCGACACGAATCTCTTCTTCGTAGGTTCATTGGGTGGGAACGCTCTCAACAGCGTTAACAGCTTCCCTGTATCACGCCCGTAAATCAGCACTCCATAGTCCTTGTAAGAGGTTCTCCAATCTTCCAACCGCCGGACTCCCCGTCTTTCTTGCTTCGTTGCCTCTACAACACCAAACTCGCACGCACCTTTCTCGCCAGTGCCGCATCCCTTCTCTGCCTTCCCTAGCACCTCAACGAGGAAACATCCCAGGTCCCCGCCGCTGCCACCTTGTCCCGCCTTCAGCAAAGCCAATGCGCCACCATAGAGGATATCGGTAGCTGAGTCCCAGTCGGAAGACTTGACGTAACGGGAAGCAACTACTCGCAGTTGCTGATGTGCTTCATAGTAATTGCCTTCTGAGATCCTGTGATAGCAAGAACGTCAGCATGGAAATGAGAGGCCTGACGTAGGACAACGGCATCGGTGCTTTAGGAGATTGGTGGATTACTTCTCCTCTTGTCTAGCAATCGTTTTTTGAATTTTTGATGAGCGCGACATGGTCAGCAGGCAGGAGTTTGACAACTTTCTTGTCTGAATGGAGAGGACTTGGGTTGGTGGGATTCCTTGGCAATACAAGACATGACAGAACCTCGCAAGTGAGATAGGGCGGCGGTTACTCTAGACCTGCTAGGGGGTGATTTCGGGGTCTCGTACCTTTTCCCACGTCTTGGCAGAATGCGCAATGAGGACAGAAAGTCCGCTAAGACCGGTGACTTTTGGTAATCTTAATGGTTGGAGTTTGTGTTCTTGTTCGCATGATTTCATTCTATGTACATCTCCTAATGGCTTAAACGATGTGCCCAAGTCCCGTGTAAATGCTGGAGTCCGACGCCTTCTTGATGTCGCTGTGAACTAAACTGGTCATGCTCCGTCACATGGACGACTTGACGCAATAAAGGAAAGATCATGTACAGGCAAGAGCTGCCCAAAGGCCAGCAGCCCCACCAAGAATCTTGTACGGTACATGCGAAGAAACAGCGCCACTCCTGCCAGTCGGTATCGACCCTCCCGTCACTGTGCCAGACACACCCGCGATTCTGGCACCTCCAGATTGCGAAACGGACGCTTCGATAGCGCTGGTTACTGGCGTGGCGTCTGGTACGCTGGCGGTACCTGTACCAATCTCCAAAACGTGGCTAGTCGTCGAGTTGAAATCAGTCTGCGCAAGGGATATCTCATTATTCGCAAGATCATAAACTACGTAAGCCGAGCGGAGGAAAGTGTCGCCTAGAACGGATGTTGACCCTTGGGATGGAGCAACACCGAAGAGGCCTATATTATAGTTTCCGAGTCAGCATTGCCTATCCGAGAGGGTATGTTGAGCCTTGGAAAATGTCTACAGAGTAGACATTCTCAAGACCTGTCTCAAGGCTCAAGATCTGGTCTAGAAGAGGAAATATGAACTCCGAAAACACGTACAGATGTTTTCGTCGCTGCCACTGAAACCATACGAGCCCTCACCATTGTCGCCAGAGTTTGGGGTTTCCCGGCTCTCTTCGGCACTGGAAACGCTCAGGACCAGCTCCCTGACGGGAATTGAGATTATTGGGGACGTGAATGTAAAGTCCAGGGTGACATTCTCGCTGGCAAGGTCGCAGCTCACAAATGCAGCCCCGTCTTGTTGACTATATTGGACATCCAAAGCAGTGTAGATTGCACTCGTAAGGTCATTTGGTAGGTATGTCAAACTGCTCCCACTGTCCAGAATGACGGCAGTGGGAAGGTCGGTGTTCAAGTTCTGGGTTCTACCTCCATTGATAATGCTCACGCCGCTCAAAGTGATGATGATTTCCGCATACTCGTCGAATTCTTTCTGTATGGGCAGTGTCTGGAGTTGACCAGTGTACTTGTCTGTGTCCACACCACCAAAAATGATTGACCCGGTATTGGCTTCGAGATCATCTAGGTACAAAGAATATGCGTTCGATTTGATCAGACCAGCGTTAGCCATGGCTTGAGGGAGGTTTGGGTAGGACTTCAGGTTGGCCGCATTGACTTGTGCTTCGTCTGCGGTATATCCAACTCCCAGAATACCATCCGTTGATGTTGACTGATAGCCAATGCCAAATTGTAGGCTAGTCAAAGTCTGTCCTCCAATGCTAATTGTATCGGTAGCGTAATCGCCTCCGGCTCCGGAGCCATCGACATAAGAGACATTAAAGTCGCTGTTCACGAATTTGTAGGTACTTGACGAGTTGGCATCATAAGTTCCTCCTGCGGAACAAGGACTCCCTCGGTCTGTGCAAATCTCAGACGATTTTACATTCGCCCACAAGTCGCTGCTCCCAGTGTCGATATGTAGCCTTAAACTCTGGGCTGGCGTCCCTAGGCTGACGTTGGCGTAGTAAAGTGTTTCCTAGTTCAACGAAGTCAGCAAACAAACATCTGAAATACGAGCAGGCAAGCGGTGAGAAGAAGTGGAAGCTGTAGCGGTATGCGCCCCTAAGATACTGAATTACCAGCGTGGAAGAGAAGTCATCCAGCGCCTGGCTTGGGCTTCCAACCCGACTCTGGCACAGGACGGGCGATACCAGCGCTGAAGACTGCCACTCTCCCTGACAGCATGCATGCGAGAATGCGAGCTTACCCCATTGTCAAGTGTCTCGGTAAGCGTCTGTCTTCGGCGTAGCCCATCTCTTTTAACAGGATCCTGTACTGCCTTCCTGTATGTACCCAGTCTTACAACCGCCGGTGACGCATCCCGTTGGAAGAGATGAATGGCTGCTGAGCTGCTAGCTAAGAATCCTACCGCCAGAGCAGTAAGGAAACAGCTTCTCATGGTCTGACTGTGGGATGGTAATGTAATTTAGGACTGTGTGTCAAAGAAAGAAGAGCAATCAATCATTTTTCAAAAGAAGGATTAGTGGGCAAGGAGGGAGAAGAAAAGTGTTTTGGTTTATTGAAATGAAGACATAGCCTTAGACATGCCCACGCTGACGCGGCAAATATTGTGAAATGGGAGAAATCAAGTACCTACTTTACTCAGCGGGGACCGAGCAGATGGGAATACCGTTCATTGGTTCATTGCGGCGTCACTGTGGCGAAGGGCAGCATCCATCGACCATCATCTCGAAGTGCCTTACGTACTAGATGACGACGCGCTTTCTTCCTTTCTTCCCTACTTTCCTTTCTTCCCTCCGAGACCGAAACCAAGAAGATGTCAAATCATTAGGAGAGGCAAGACTAATAGACCAAGCAGGGGAAATCCCCTCGAGAATCTTGACCAGCAGCCGAAACATTGTACACGTTCTACTTGTACTTCTGAGCTCTCATGAAGCCAAACCGACCGGCGACACGCAACTAAAGCCACTGATTGAACGAGCGGCAAAATGCTTGTTCTTCGGGAGTGGCTGAAATTTCCCGCCTTGGCAACCGAGAGATCTAAAGTAAGTACGTACTTACGTCCCCTGTTCTAAATTCCTTTCAAGCGCGTTCAAAGCGCGTCCTCACAAAGCCGCAATGGCAAAGGCAGAGTCATCAGCTGCTGCTGCGAAGAATGGCATCAAAGCCAATGTTAACGGTGTCGGTGGTGCATCATATGATCTGCCATGGTATTCTCCATCGCCATTTCTTCCGCCCGTGCTAATTCCGAGTCAGGGTTGAGAAATACAGACCGGTATACTTAGACGACATAGTGGGCAACACGGAAACTATTGAGCGTCTCAAGATTATTGCCAAGGATGGAAACATGCCGCACGTTATCATTTCTGGCATGCCCGGTATTGGCAAAACCACCTCGATCCTCTGTCTTGCCCGGCAATTGCTCGGAGACGCGTACAAAGAAGCAGTCCTAGAGTTGAATGCCAGTGACGAGCGCGGTATGCGGCCAAGGTCTATTTAAACTAAACTATTCCTCAAGCTGACACTGACACCGACATCAAGGTATCGACGTCGTCCGTAATCGCATTAAAGGCTTCGCTCAGAAGAAAGTGACTCTACCGCTAGGCCGACAAAAACTGGTCATCCTCGATGAAGCCGACAGCATGACATCTGGCGCCCAGCAAGCTCTTCGCCGTACGATGGAAATCTACTCCTCGACCACCCGCTTCGCGTTCGCGTGCAATGCCTCCAACAAGATCATCGAGCCCCTTCAATCCCGCTGTGCCATCCTCCGCTACGCCCGCTTGACAGATGCACAAGTCGTCTCTCGCCTGGTGCAGATTTGTGAAGCTGAAAAGGTAGAATATTCTGACGATGGAATCGCTGCGCTCATTTTTTCGGCCGAGGGTGACATGCGACAAGCTATCAACAACCTCCAGTCTACTTTTGCAGGCTTCGGATTTGTGTCGGGCGAGAACGTCTTCCGTGTTGTCGACGCTCCACATCCAGTCAAAGTGCAAGCGGTTATCAAAGCGTGTTGGGAAACGCGCATCGAATCAGCGGTGGATGGTTTAACAGAGCTGTGGGACCTGGGATATTCCAGTCATGACATTGTGAGCAGTATGTTTAGAGTTACGAAGACGATGCCTGGCTTGAGTGAGCATGCTAGGTTGGAATTTATACGGGAAATTGGATTCTGTCATATGAGAGTGCTGGAGGGCATGCAAACGTTGGTACAGCTGTGGGGTTGTGTCGCGAAGCTATGTAAGATTAACATGAAGCCGGGCTTGTTTGTGCCACCGTAAAGGGTGCCGGGCCAAAGTCGGCGAGAGATGCATAGGGCCGAGGCTGCCGGACTTCATGCGGAAGATACTGAAGCAGAGCGGGCGTCTGGCGCGAAATATTTGCTAAAGGCAATATCTACCAACTATGATGTGTTACAGCACAACTTGTTCCAGGCCGCAATCAGGGTTGATCACCCAATCTTCATCAGCTCTCGCTCCGACTCCGACAGAACCCATAGAGCCTTCCACCATGCCACCACTCCTGCAACTAAGATGATGTAATACGCCGCTGTCCACGCAGGTCCCAGCTTCTGCGCACCCTCATCTCTTCGATCCTCATCCTCCTTTCCTCGGACCGGGCCTCCTACAACCCCACCGTCGATGACTACACCGCCTACCCTTCCCCACACCCGTGGCAGACCCACCCAATTGCAAAAGCCGTGCACGACCACGACACCCCATAGGTTGCCGGTTCTCAGCAACAAAAACGCGGCATACCACCCAAACACAGTCGTATACCCAAACTGCACAATGCTTCTCAACAGCGCCGGTGGCAGCGGAGTGAAAGGGTGTGTGAGGGTGTACTCATAGAAATGGTGGATGTGCGCTATGCCAAAGTATAGTGGGGTCACGAATATGAGAATGGTTTGGGAAGAAGGGGGCCGAATCAGTAGGTGCAGAGACAGTAAAAGAGAGCGAAACAGCACTTCCTCTGTGAACGGACCGGCGATGTAATTGCGCCATCCGATCCAACTGCTCAAGGTTTCGTGTAAGTCTCGTCCTTTGGCCCAATGTCGCCACCCGGATTCGATGACGCCCTTTTCGAAGAGGGGCCCAGCGAAGAGAAGTGCGGTGAGAGATAAGACTTTGGGGATATCGAGGGGAGAGAAAGGATACCAGCCGAGTAGGTGAAAAATTTCCGAGTATGACACCTCTGCTCGCGTAGAGATGACGTAAATTGTGAGGGCGGAGCAGATGAAGACGGATCCTGTGACAAAGCGGATGCGCGCTCGAATGACGGAAGGAGCATCGCGAGAGAGGGTAGGTGATGGGCGGGTGGTTGAAGAGAGATAGAAAGGCAAGACGTAGAGGACGGTGTAGGCTACCTATCCGAAGGAACACAAATCATTAGATTGAATTAATGTCCCCAGGGAAGTAACGCCTTCTAAATACATGAGACAATATACCAATCGCAGCGAAAAGTGCTCAGACGGCAACGCAACCTACAGAAAGCGCAGCAGCAGCACTGGCGGAGAGCATTGGCGGCTCAACTTTGTCTAGTCTCTAAGGTCAGTTCTAATACAGTCAAGTACGAGTAGCCGACATTGAAACCAAGTCCCAGATTTGCATGACTGTAACACTGATCTACGTACCTGATTCTCTAACGTAGTTTGAGAGCCTTTGGTAGAAAGATGTAGGCGCCATGTCAGCGTCTAACAGAGTGGAAAAAGCATCACCGTTTCGTCTGGAGACCTTGACTATGGTCTGAGAGGATGGTGCTTCGCGTCGTCAGAATGGCCTGCGTAATTTTTATTCGGAATTTTTAGATACACTTATCATGAGACGACTTTCCAAGCCAAGGCTCGTAAGCCGCGTGACGGAGAGGGAGATGCAATTATCAATTATCCCACACAGAGAGAGAAGAAATTTTGCCGGAATTTAGCCGGTTGGCAGGCATGCTCGGCATATGGGGGGCGGTCAGTGGCAGGAGATTTAAGATTGAAACAAGCTAAGAATAGAAAGGGGAAAGAAAAGCACTTACCCCTGATTTCATAATCCTTGAGAAAACCGAAAATTAGCCGTCCGGCTGGCACCCCACACACTCAAAATCGTATTGTAGACATGCAGGCCATTAATACCATTCCCACAACCCTTTAAGGCCTTAAATATACACCCAAAGAGGCAATTGTGAGGCTACGATTACTCGTATATATAGAACTATTAATATTTCTTTTTTGGAATCTCTTATTAATATATAGAAGATCTTAAAATACCTTCTTCGCTGATGATTATTTATAAAAATCGTATATAATAGTATATATAATTCGGATTAAGCGTTAACGCTATTATTAAAGCTAAAGATATATTATCTACTATTATATATTATATTATTAATAACCTTTTAATCTTTAATATATATATCGCGCCTCGTGTGATTAAGAGAGATAGATTATTCGCGATATTTATAGTAGTAAGAATTAAATTAAGAGCCTATATTAAAAGTAAGCTATAGATTTATCTAGATAAGATATAATATAATCTTTTTAATCGATTTAATCTAATTATTAATATATTTATAATATTAAAAATATTATACGCTATAAAAATTAGTAGAAAAAGTCTTTATTGAGTAACTTTAAAACGCTTATAACTCTATCGTAATATATACTTTCTAATAATTAATATTTTTATATATAATTAGCTTATTTTCTTAGATAAGAGCGTAGTTAATAAATATATAATATAAAGAAAGCGAGATTATTATAACTTTGAAGTTTAATTAATAATTTCTATTTTTATTAAACGATTTAAATAATATAGTATTTTATTAATATATTATTTTAATAGTATTCTTTATTATTATATCTATTAAGATAGTATTAATAATTCTTATTTTAAATAATTTCTTAAAAACGAAGTCTTTTCTCGCTATAATTTATTTTCTAATTTAAAATCAATTCTTATTATAGATAATTATTTTATATATTATAGTGTTAAAATAAAAAGACTATATACGATATAAGATATTTTACTCTTATATTTACTCTTATACTTATTTAACTTTAATCTTATTAAGAAATTCTTTTCGATTTTTAAGACTTAATTAAAGAGATATTTCGAGTTAACGAAGTATATATCTTTTTAGTAATATTTAAAGCTTATTATATAGATATATAATAAAGAAATATATACTAAAGCTTATTTTTCGCATATTGAAATATTAATAGATAAGTATTATAAAAAAGATAAAGAATTATATATAAAAGATAAAGAATATAATAGTTTTAAAGAATAAACTTTAATATAGCAAAAATAAGATTTTAAATCTTATATTAGCTTAATTTAAGGTAGATATCCTTTCTATTAATATTACTATATTAAAATATATTCGATTTTTATAATTTCTTTAATATATTTAAGCTCTATTTAAATATTTTAATTTATATTATTTAGAATATAAAATAATATAATTATTAATTAAAATAAAAGATATAATATATATAATATTTTAGCTATAGCGGGATTATCGCTATAAAGCTAATACTAATTAAATCTTAATTCTTAAACTCTAATATAAAGATATATAGATTTCTTAATTTTTATCTACTATAGTAATATTTAAATCTAAATCTAAATATTAATTAATATATTTCTTATTAAATAAAGATAAAATTAAAAAAATATTATTATAGATCTTAAGAAAATTTAATAGAACCTTTAAATATTAAGTTATATAAAAAAAAAATGTAATAATAAAGTTTTATAACTATATTCTCTATATATTATACTATAGAGAGCTAAATTATATTAGAAATATCTTATTATTTAATTTATTAATAGATCTTAATACGCGAGTAGAAGAATATAATATAAAAGCGAGATAAGATAAAATATACCTATAATATAATTCTAGAATTATTTCTTATTAATCTATATTACTTATAGTAACTTTAAATAATATTAAATAGAAAGAAGAAGAAAAAGAAAAAGAATAAGAATAGACTTTATAATTAATTAATTAAAGAAGTAAAAAGATAAAAAGATAGAGCGATAAAGAGTAGATAGTTAAAATATAAAAGAAAAATAATAAAAATAGAATAATTATATAGACCTTAAAAGAGCTTTAAAACAGCTATATTTAAGAAATAATTAAATTATAAATTAATTTAAAGTATTATTCTATCTAACTTCTAACTATATATACTTTCTTCTATACTCGCTTTAATCTTTTATCTCTATATTTATTTAGTCTAAATATTCTTCTTATTCTTAATAAATATTTTTTCATCTAAATTATTATTATTTACTAAAGTAATATTATATAGTATATTTAATAAATTAGATATTTAAAAGCTATAATCTATATTAATAATAATAATAATATAAGTTTATATCTCTTTTATAAATACTTTTACCTCGCTACTTAGTCTTATATCTAATTCTTTTAAAATCTTTATATTCTTTTATTTAGTTATCGATATATAATATATCTACCTTAATATATATACCTCTTATTTTATCTTTTTAAGCGTATTTATAAATGTCGCTTTCTTACTAAAACTCTTTCGAGTATATTAAATAAAATATATCTTATATAATACGCTTTAATTATTCTCTATTTAGATAAGATTACTTAATAAAAGTAATATTTAAAAAAATGATTAATTAATTATAATAAGATAAGAAGAAAGCTTAATTAAATTAAATAATTAAGTCTTAAAGAATTAAAGTTACTAATATTATTACGTAGAAAAGAATTAAGATTATTATACTATTAATTAAAAGAGTAAATATCTTATAAACTGCTGTTGCTAATATAAATAATACTACTATTAAAGCGAGTTATACTATAACTATTAGCTATACTATAATTATTAACTATACTATAATAACTATTATTACGAGCCTAATATTAAAGATAAGTTATCTAGCTTATTAAGTAATATAATAATAGATATTAGAGTAGAAGCTAAAGTAGAAGTAGTAATAACTATAGATTCTTTCTTCTTTATTATTTTCGACTTAATCTTTATCTTCTAATTCTTTTTATATTATTTCTTTAATTAAGTTTAAATTTTTTAAAGCGAATTTTTAATAGTAATACTAGAATTCTTACCTCTTATTAAGACTTTATTTTATTTAATAATTTACTCGATATATAATAAATAGTATATATTTTTAAAATCTTTAAATTATTAATAATAATAATTATTTTCTAGATAGCCGACTTTTAAATATTTATAATTCTTTATAATATTATAACTCTTCTAATTAAACTTCTTTTAAAGCTTCTTTATCTTTATTATATACGTTATTTATTTTATAATAATACTATTAAGTTTAAGTATTTTAATCTTCTTCTTTTTCTTCTTCTATTTCTTAAAGTTAAATTTAGATTTAAAAGAAAAGTAAAAGATAGAAGACTTATTTAAAGATGAATCATTATCGATAATAGGTTGATTTATCTTATACTTCTTCGCTAATAAAGCTTCTTCTTTAAAAGACTTTTCTTCTAATAAGATATTATTATTTTTGAAATTATATATATATATAATTCTTATAATAATATTCTTTTTTTTTTCCTTTAGCCATTTTATAGCGAAGATATTAACTAACTTTTATTTAGATTTATCACTATATCGACTATTTATAGATTTTATATTATCGATATATAAGAGTATCGCAATAGTACGCTTTAGAATTATTTAATAATTTTTCTTATTTATCTTTTCTTCGATAGCCTATATAGTCTTACTATTAAATCTATAAAAATTAAATATATTTAACTTATTAATACTTGAATATAAATCCTTCTCTTTTTATATTATATTAATATTAATTAAATAAATAAAAAGCTTTAGAGGCTCTAAAGGTGCTTTAAAGATTTTTTCTTTAATAATAAAGCTATATCTAAGAATATCTTAAATAATATTATTCTTAGAAGGCTTCTTCTTTCTAGATTTAGCCTTTTTTGATAATTTACGCCTCTCTTTAATGATATTAATTATGAGATTAGCTGCTTCTTAATTAAAATTACGTGAAATAGCCTTATTTCGTATAGGGCGGTCCATATTTGGTCAAGTTGAGGTCCTAATTAATTATGGGAATGGCATTAATGGCCTGCATGTCTACAATACAATTTTGAGTGTGTGGGGTGCCAGCCGAACGGCTAATTTTCGGTTTTCTCAAGGATTATGAAATCAGGGGTAACGCGTCGCACCTTTTAGACGTGACAGATTTATCTTACTTTTACCTTTTACGTGTAGAGTACTTTACTTTTAATCCATAAGATTGAGCCTCCTGAGCCAACCGAGGGAAGGTGGGAAATTGATCATCAAGCATGTTCAGCTTCGCTGTCGCTTAGAAATGCTAACCTGACGGAATATAGACCCAGTTGCCTCCCTTTCTCTTCCAACCTTGCTATTCTGCTTATTCATTTCATATTCTCCTGTCCCTTTTTTCCTTCCTTTTTCCCTCTGTATTCGGAGAGCAAAAGCATTGATTTCTGGCTTCAAAAGTGGGCCAAACGAACGGTTCCATAGGTACCTAAGTACTATACCTGAAATCCTACGTCGTACCTGACGCCGGACGCTAAGGAGCATCCCACCAAGGCTCGACCCCTGAAGCAACAAGACATAACGACCTCCCCCAGCATCATTTTCATCTTCCTCTTCATCTTTTACACCAACTTCACCCTTGTCCTTTTCCTTCCTTTCATTCATTCATTATGTATATCATTTGATTTTTACACCACATTCATTTTCGTCGTCTTCTTTTCTCTCTTGCCCAGTCACTCCTTTTCCTCCATTTCGATCCGCTACTATTCATCTACTTTCCTCGGACTTACCAACCCATCATTTCCCACCATCTGTAACGAGTCGAATTCATCAGCGATCAGTCTATAAAAGGCGAATCCGTCATCAAAGTACCGACGTTATGCAATCTGTCATCCAGCATGAATCTCCCTCTACGCCCTTCCAAGGGCTCTCCGCCCCGACGGGCAGCACTCCACGAGCGATCCGATTCCCATACCAATGAAAGAGCATCACCCACACTTCGCATCATTGGGGACCCTCAGGCGCAAATATATGCAAGCAGTCCCTTTCCGACCAAGCCTTCCCACATCCTCTCGCCTAAAGTGTACGACGGACAGGGATCGACGTTTGCACCTGGAGTCTACGTTCCGAATGACCGGAAACCTCAAAGAGAAACAAAAGATAATGTTGAGGACCCACTGGACACGGCAACATCATATTTACAGCGTCGAAGCGGAAGCGCTGATACCAAAGATCCCTTCTATACTCCCGCGCAGGGGACTACACCAGGGCCCGATACAAGTACAAGCTTCCTTGCAATGGATGAGGGTATGGACAGTAGTAATGGTCGAGTGTCCGACGACATTGTGCAGCTCCCCAGCGTCTCTCCCGCACTCGAGAGCTCCGAATTGTATGGGACGGCGAACCTAATGGATGCTCCCCGCCAACCTGTTTCAAAGGACTCTGATGCGTCCCTCTCGTCTTCGAATTCCACCGGGACTGTCATTGTGAAAAGGACCCGAGATGGACCTAGACGTGCCTCTTATTCCGCGTTCCCGAACACGGCTCGACCAGGTTCCTCGAAATCTAGTCTATCTATATCAAACCCACAGAAGCCAGTCACCAGGGACACGGGTGGTAGTAGTTCACCAGTTTCTCCGATATCACCGAGCTCGCCAGTCTCACCCAATTACGCAATGCCTCATGAACGGCGGATTTCTTCTGTCCCCTTGTACGCAAATCTGCATGCATCTGGCCAAAACTCGTTGAATCTCCAATATCCTGTCATAAGGCCACCATCGGCTTCTGCGTCGTGGTATGTACATTTGTGAATTATCCCTTTTTGGTTGATTGTCGTGATTTGGGTTGCAAAAATGGTTCTTAGGAGCATCTTGCTCCATAGATGTCTGTCACAAACCAGGTTTCTGTCTGATCGAATCCATATTTTGGGGGGATTTTAGGCTTCCAGCATAGAGTCTGATAGACTCCGGGGCGTTCCAACCATGGTTTTTTGACATTTTAGGCTTGCGTACCATGAGAATGGGCACATACCTCAAAGTTAAGGCAAAAATTTATCGCATTGTAGGCTCGAGCAGCTTGAAAGTGTAGCGGCTTGTTTATCAAAGAGACACGCTGACTTCGATGATTTATAGGGTGGAGCCGCCAAATTCTACAGCTCGACGACCATCGCGGACGTTGGAGCGCAACCAAGACCGTTGGAACCCGCATCTCTCTACTGTCCCATCCGAAGGGACTGGCTCACAGTCAGAGGGAAGGAGCAGTCATACACCATGGATTCCAGAATCCTCTCGCGTGAGCAAGTCTTCATTCACGACTATGAATCCTCGAGGAGGCTCAGACATGCCTCCATTGCCGAGTCAGCCGTCAGCGCCTCCTTTAGCAAACCCACCTGCTGTTCTCCAAAGAGACGTTACCGGCTCGACTATTCGCGTGGTGAAGGATTTACAGGACGACCTGCCGACCCCGCTACCGCCAATACCAGGATCAAGGGGCTCGGAGTACTTGGGCGTTGCGTCGGGAGACAATCGATACAGCGTAGTTACCAAGCGTGGATCTAGAGCCACTTTCTTTCGAGATAGCATCCCAGCTTGGGCCAAGTAAGACTTTGCACAAAGGTCTGAGTCTGCGCCTGAACATCTGCTAATTTTGACGGACAGAGCGTACTATGCCCGGCCCTTATCTGCTACTTCGACATCGAAGGATCGCTCCGACAGACGTCCTTCGACATCGACAGAGAATATTTCGCTAAACATGTTCCGGCCTCGGACCCGCGCTAAGGATGCGGATGATCAACGACGACGAAGTTCCTTAATGATTGGACGGGTACGACACGGAGGACTCGATCTGGCCGAGGTCAGAGGTCCTTCGCGGCAAAGATCATCATCAAACTGGTCTCCGCATCTGTGGCATAACAGAGCTTCTCTTAGCACACGGCGAACCATATTCCAGGCCCCAAGTTTGGATGAACAAGCTGAGGGAAATGCGCCGAGTAAAAGGACGGCCCAAATATTACTCTTTGCCGTTGGCTTTATCTTTCCGCCAGGTAACTCAGACCGTTCCCGTGAACAAATATATAGATTGCTGACCCTTCCAAAAGCATGGTTCATAGCAGCCTTCCTACCGCTGCCTCCAAGGCCGGCGGTCATCAGCGCAAAAGGAAAAGATGTAACTCGCCAACCCCAGATGCTTCAAGATCTTGAGAAGCAGCTGGGAGCTGTTGATGAGGCGCGGTACGAGAATGCGAGATGGTGGCGGAACATTAATCGTGTCATGTCCGGATTCGGAGTGCTAATCATCGTTGCTATCATCGCTCTCGTAGCGGTTGCTGCCAATTAAGCGGACGGAGATGACGCGCCAACGACCTATTTACGACTTTCAAAAACTTACGAACGGATAATTTGACGCCAGCTTAGCTTGTATGGTTGCACACATAGAGCTTTCCTCATGCTAATATTCATCATGAGATCTGTATAGGTGCCGTTGCATCTATCACGGAGTATACGCAGCGATGAGCGAGTGTGTGGATATGAATTGCACTCTTCACTTCCAGGTGATCACTTTCTAGCGTTTCAGCGACACGAGCCATGTAGCTAATAGATTATTAATGCCTCCAACCTACGTTCCAGCTTACCTAGTGCCTGTGCTTGCGCGGACTCTGTGCCAAGAATGGGTGCTCTGTCGACTGCAAGTGGCAATGTCCCCATTCCCTTCGCTAGATCTATATCTCGCCAGCAAAGGAGCCAGTGAGTATCTCTCATCTACCAGACGTGGTAGCTACCGTGACCGATACCTGGGAATTTGCGAGACAGTGACTTCCATTGCAAGTTCAACGATCAATCGTTTCTGGCCAGAAGTTTGGCCTTCAACCTGTATGCTACCCTGATATCAACAAAGTTCACAGTCTAGGTTCATGTGGTCTACGCATGTCCTCTAACACGTGGACAGGCCGGATCGAGTTGTCAGGGTTGCACGATCTAAAGGGAGCAAGAGGGTTCAGGATTCTCAAATCCTAGTGTTTTCACAAACGTAGAAATACCATGATAGTATCGGCTGGGGTGTCCGCGTGAAGAAAAGGGGTGTAAGGCTATTGAGTGGCTGAAAATTCCATCACACAACTGTATGAAGACAAGCGGCGATACGTGGGCCACCTTCATTGTAGCCCAATCGCACAAGCATCGGGACATGCTGCGTATCTCAAGACGCATCTACCCAGACACTGAGATTGGATTCTGCCAGGCCCGGCGAAGACACCTTCGGATCAACCCCATATATCCAAACCTTGAGCTGCTCATTCTCCCCCACCAACCCTCTTCCTCCCAAATGCGGCGGTTTCACAACGCACTCAACAGCAATGTCGAACGCCCTCTTGAAGATAGCCGCGAAAGTTGACTTCTCCTTGTCGGCCTCTCGCAAAACGTCGATTTCAACGGCGCAACTGCCGTAATCCCAAGTGTGTGGTACTGTGAAGCCTGTTCCAGGGTCTCTGCCGAATGAAACTGGTGCGAGGGCTTTTTCGCCCATCGGTATGCCACGGATAGCCTGTTTGCATTCTACGTATGTAATCGGCGTCATCTGGGGTTCGTGGGGTGGACTTTGCTCCCAACACCCAAGCGTGACGGAGAGGGAGGCATTGCTGGCGAGAGAGGGAATTGATACGGAGTTGGCCATGGTTGAGAAGTGAAAGGACGACAAGAAGTGAGGGATGGGTGTCAAAATGAACGCAGACTCGAAAGCTGAACAGATGATCTTAATGTAAGTTTTGCATGCCCAGGCGCATAGTCTCTGCGCGGCGACGTCGCGGGTATAGCATAGTTCTCCTCGCTAGTTTTATTGGCGTGGCGACTTCAACGAAGACGCAGCGAGATTGTGTGAGCTCGTGGTCCCTGCATGTCTCCGCTCGCCAAGAACCAAGAAGAACCAAAGAGGGACAGCGCGGCATTGAATTATAGACATTGATTCTATATCTTCTTTCCAAGCCTATCCTCTACAGCAACTTTCATGTCTCCGCCAGTAGGCATGCTGATGCTTTGCCCTCTTCTTCTCCTCGCTTCAACTTCTTCTTTGATTTCACTAACAGCCTCGTCGATGTCTCCTGCTGGATCACTTGGCAAGCCCATTAGTGGATGCTCGATCTTTTCTTTCGGTTGCAGCGCGTTTTGATTCCTCATCCTCAGCTTTTTGATAAGCCACGGCTTAGTGGGGGAGGCAAAGAAGGCCATCGACACAGCCGCTCCGAGGATGGTATATAAATAGACGCGGATCCAGACGAGGAGGGAGTCCGGAAGGGTGAGGAGAACGAACGGCACCGTGGTAAAGCAAAAGGCCGTTTGAGTAGCAAGATAGGAGAGGACATCGTAATATATCTTGTATGGCGTCGGACGTTGCCCGTCAGGAGTGAGAAAGAATGGCCGAATGTGGCGCCGAAAATCTAGGTACAGGGTTAGCAGACCGTGAAAGCTCATGGTTGACGAAAGGACAGATCAAGCAGGTATCCATGGCGGCCAGAAGCATGAAACTTGAGAAATAGATGATAACCATGGATAGAATGTGCATGGCGCTGGCTCCGAAACTTACTTTTAGCAATCGTCTGCAGAAACGCCGCCAGAATGAATGTTAGGTAGTATCCTGGGTAGAAGCCGTGCCAGAAAGCGCTGGTTACGAATGTGGCCAGACTGGCTCGAAAACCCGGCTTTTTCCCTTTGGGAGTCACCCTCAGATACATATAATTTCGTAGCCAGTGATTGGTGTTCATGTTCCAGTTTTCGAGGTAGGCGCGCGAGTTTTGTGCTGACTCGATCCCCCAAGGGTTCACATTCTGTAAACGATTCCAGTCTACTTTGTTCGTTTTTGGGTTCACGCCGTTGTAGCCCAAACCCGAGAGAATGCATGCGCCTTCGGTAAGATACCACACACCGTAGTATTTCATGCGAGTGGAGAAGCCTAGCATCTCCAAAATCCAGACCCGTCTCAAGAAGCCATACTTCATGTACTGGTCTCCAAGGACAAGATTGCTATTGTACCAACCAGCAAACTTGAGGAACAAGAGGATCCACACGAGCCCAATCACCGCTTTGATGGTAGCTGGAGTACTACTGCTAGGGATCTTTCGCTTCTTGTGTGTTTTCGGTGCTGCTGATGGATCTGTCCCTGCTGGTATCTCAAACATGGTAGTTTCAATCCATCGTCGATAGTCGACAAAATCGAACGAAGGACCGGCGAATAGGGAGGGAAAGAAGAGCTTGATTTGATTAGAGATATACCCATATTCCCTTGCACAGAAGTTGTGAACGTACGACATAGCCAGCGAAGTCGAGGAGATTTGGAAGCTGAGGTAGGGCTCTTTCGAGCTGAAAGTCTGCAAGATCGTTCTGCGGCAGCCGGCCATCTTGTACATTCCAGCAAAAGGCCGTGAGCTATTCGTGGTAAGTATTTGGCATACTAAGCATTTTGTAAGGCACTCCAGGGCCCACCTTCATGGCCAGCACCATTTGCGCCCCTAATTCTGCGGTGAGCAGGATTCAGTCCTAGGTGTCATCCTCGCAAACGTACCAGTGATGTCAACTTTGTCAGGCGCATTGGCAAATTGACGATAAATATGGTTGACCGACATATGGCCCATAACGAATACAAATCCTATCCATGGCATGAAAGGACCATCCACGTACGAAGCAATAAGGTATGCCCCAGCTGAACTTATGAATAGCGTGCGGATTCCAGACCAGAGATCGAATAGCCCGACTAGGTAGAACAGCGAGACCCTAGGCACTTGTCAGAGACAGTGAGGATAAGTGGACACTCTGGCGTACGCAATGATAAAGGAGTTCTTCTGGTAGGGTTTTGCATCTGGTATACGCTTGAGGACTCCAGCAAGTGGATAGGAGAGGAGGAAGGAGGTGATGAGCTTCACTGCAATCATTTAGCCAACAGGAACTGTGAATTTAAGAAGGCAGCATATGGCAATATTCTCACGTTCATCGACTGAAGCCCCCGTTGCAGAGCTAGCATACTGGAACGCTGTTCTGCCATTAGCCTACTACCTCTATCTATAGAAGACTTGGACAGCAACTCACGAAGGTTGATATACGGCAACATTTTGGGCAGCGCAGAGGAAAAAGATAAAAGGCGGAGGAGTTGTCTGCCTCATCTGAGGAGGTGCACATAAGATTATGGTCTGTTCAAGGAGTCACACAAATGATTGTATCAAAATTGGCAGAGTCCCATAACAAGCTACCCCAGTGACCCCACGAGCGGCCCTCGGAAAAAAAGGTCGACGCGCCAAGCCTTAGCGGCGCAGCAGGATGCAGGGGTTTCAAGTGCCGTAGCGCGGACAGGTGTGCCGCAAGCCGGCAACTGCAAGGCATCCCAATTCCCCAAGCACCCAAGCTGGAAAGCTCGATGGCGCAAATTCCTCCTCACGCTCTCTCAGCGACGATTTCATCACAGCACTCAGCATCTACTTGCAGGCTATAGCGGACAAATAGCTTAAGCCCAGTAGCCCAATGACTTTGAACCCACCGCTCCTTTCTTCCACCATCCACTGCGACCATGGACGTAGTCTCAGCAGTCTCAGGCTATATTTCAAAGATGGTGTCAGCTGGGGACATGGCTTTGGCATCTTCGTCCGCCAAGATGAAGATTCTCTTGCTCGACAGTGAGACAGTGCGAGTCGAGGGCTATAGATGTTTGACGGATTTGGGCTGACATCCTTACAGATCTCCTTTGTCTCCACCGCCATAACCCAATCTGCCCTACTCAACCACCAAGTATATCTTGTCGAGTAGGTTCTCTAAGCAGTGGTTAAGAGCTCTGGCTAACAAATCTCCAAAGTCGCCTTGATAATGCTTCTCGAGAGAAGATGCGTCATCTGCGCTGCATATGCTTCGTTCGGCCGTCGCCGGACTCAATACAACACTTGATTGACGAATTTCGGGATCCAAAGTACGGCGAATACGCAATATGTAAGGACATCAATATTCAGAGCGACTCTCCCTAGAATCTGACGTTGTTCTGCAGACTTTAGCAACGTTATCCGCAAATCTTCTTTGGAGAGACTAGCCGAAGCAGACAACAACGAAGTAGTCAAGGCTGTTCAAGAATACTTTGCGGACTACATCGTTGTGAATCCCGACCTACTCAATCTTGATCTCGGTTTTCCAAAGCAGCGCATCTGGGGCAATAGTCCCGACATTTGGAACCCCGATTCACTCCAAAGATGTACTGAGGGAGTGATAGCCCTCCTGTTATCATTAAAGAAGAAGCCATTGATACGGTACGAGAAGAACAGCTTGATGGCAAAGAAGCTAGCCACGGAAGTGAGATATCAGATGACGCAGGAAGAGCAAATCTTCGACTTCAGGAAAACAGACACCCCTCCAATATTGCTCATACTGGACCGGAGAGACGACCCTATTACCCCTCTCTTGACCCAGTGGACATATCAAGCTATGGTACACGAACTACTCGGAATATACAATGGCAAAATTGACTTGAGTGACGTGCCGGACGTCCGACCAGAACTCAAAGAAATAGTACTGTCGCAAGACCAGGATCCCTTCTTCAAGAAAAACATGTACCTCAACTTTGGGGACCTTGGTGGAAACATTAAAGAGTATGTGGAACAGTACCAGTCGAAGACGAAAAGCAATGCTGCAATTGAGTCTATTGCGGACATGAAGAGATTCGTTGAGGATTTTCCCGAGTTCAGGAAATTGTCTGGTAACGTCAGTAAACATGTGACATTGGTTGGAGAGCTTAGCAGGCGTGTTGGAGCGGACGGCTTGCTGGATGTAAGCGAGCTGGAGCAAAGTCTTGCTTGCAATGATAGTCATGCGAACGACGTCAAGGTGGCCCATTAACTCTTTCCCACCAAGTGTCACCCTTGACTGACAATCTTTCAGAGCGTACAACGGCTTATCTCATCACCACAAATCCCCACGGACAGCAAGCTTCGCCTTGTAGCGTTATACTCCCTTCGCTACGAGAAGCATCCGTCAAATGCCCTACCGATGCTACTAGATCTCCTCACTGCTGCTGGCAATGTTCCCGTACGCCGAGTGGATTTGGTATCGAGATTGCTTGCATACCATCATTCTCTTCAACCGGCTCCCACCGCTGGAGGTTTCTCGGATCTGTTTGAATCTTCCTCGATCTTTTCTGGAGCTCGCGATAGATTCAAAGGGCTCAAAGGAGTTGAAAATGTCTACACCCAACATTCCCCCCGCTTAGAAGCAACATTACAGAACATGATCAAAGCCCGGCTGAAAGAGCAGCAATACCCCTTCGTAGAGGGTGGAGGAACAACGAGAGACAAGCCACAAGATATTATAGTCTTCATCGTTGGAGGAGCAACGTACGAAGAGGCCAAGATGGTGGCACAGGTCAATGCTAGTTCACCCGGCGTGAGGGTTGTCCTCGGTGCTACGAGCATCCATAATAGTACAACATTTCTTGAAGAAGTTGAGGATGCTGTCTCCAGCTGGCCAGATGCTGGGCTTTCATCGGCAGCGGCGAGACTAAAGAGGGAAGCGGGTCGAAGGTAGCATTGAATTGATATCTGACGCAATAAGAATTTCCAAACAATGGAACATGTGCAGCTTGACGAGATTTCATGCACACTTGGTCTCTGATGCGGCTCTTCTTCATTCATTAAGCTCCATTCCCTTGATCCTGTCGCCATACTCATCTCCATACAGCGCCATCCAATCGTCTTTAGACAGATAAGCCAAGATGTCATAATCACTCGCGGCGGTCATTGATTCGTCCCTCTCCGTATGGTTTCTTCCCCTTGTGACTTGCCGAACACCAGCCTTCTCCAAGTCGCTATAGAGGCGCTGCTTACTGCTGACATGAATTTCTTTGGCGTACAAAGATGTTTGAATACGAGACGCTGAGCTCGCAGGGAATCGAGAGCGAGGGCATCAATTGCCCGAGAGCTTCCTAGGACGAAGATTCCCAGCAGCAGTTGCCACAAGGAACCTAGAGGTGTACTGAAGTTCGAAATAATTGGGTTCTGGGGCGAGAGGGTCTGAGAATGCGGTTCGGGGAACTTGTGGTGGCGCAGGTGAAGAGGGATTTTCGGTCGATGTGAGTTCCAGAGATGAAGAACATGTATTGGTAAAGAGACGGATTGCTTGAAGCACTGGTGCTGGGAGTGTCGCATGTACGAGATTTTGTCAAAGATGATTCTTAATACTTCTGAACTATAACAGAAAGCTGTTCTATATCCGTAGTGGTTAATACTAATTTTGGCCGATGTTGATATTTTGTACGGCAAGGTCATCTGGAGTATGGCCTATGATTAGAATGCATAGGAGAGTCTGTTTGCTTTAGCTACAAAATTTGCTGGGAGCAAGCAGATTGTTGAGGAAGAAGCGAGTTGTGTACGCGGAGGCCCAGTTGAGTGTAGCGGCACCAACGGTACCTCGAAAAGTTTAAAGGTTAAATACTGGGTTGTCATTTCTCGCCCTTTTCATTCTTCTGTCGCTTCAACGAATTGTCGCCTTCTATGATGAGCGCTCCATTTCGACCCATGGCGCTCCTGCGCTGGGGTCACAGTCCCCGTGTGCGGTCAATGCTCATGTCGTCCACACGGGACTTTGCCACCATCAGCGAACGTACCAGGTACGCCGTATGATCTGGCTGCACTTCACACCCGCTTCGCAACGTGATACTGATCTCCTCTAGTACATACGATGTAGTAGTCATAGGAGGTGGTCATGCTGGTACGGAAGCATCCGCCGCCGCAGCTCGATCAGGCGCACGAACGGCCCTGGTGACTCCGTCCTTGTCAAACTTGGGTGTCTGCTCCTGCAATCCTTCATTTGGTGGTATTGGAAAGGGTACGATGATACGCGAGATTGACGCATTGGATGGACTATGCGGCCGTATTGTCGACAAGGCAGGGGTTCACTTCAGAGTCCTCAACAGAAAAAAGGGCCCGGCTGTCTGGGGACCGAGGGCACAAATTGATCGAGAGATCTACAAGAGAGAGATGAAGGCGGAGATACTGGCCACGCCGGGCTTGGGTGTCTTGGAGGGAAAGGTGGCGGACATTGTGACTGCGCCATCTGCGGATGGCGCTAACCAGAGGATCGTGGGCGTCAGGCTCGAATCTGGTGACGTGCTCGATTGCCAGAAAGTTGTCATCACGACAGGCACTTTTCTTGGAGGAGAGATTCATATCGGTCTGGAAGTGTTCCCCAGTGGACGGATGGGCGAGGCAGCTACGTTTGGGCTCAGCAAATCTTTGCGAGACGCAGGGTTCCAATTGGGCAGACTGAAAACAGGCACCCCCCCTCGACTCGACAAAAAAACCATAGACTTCTCCCGACTGGATGTTCAGCCTGGCGAGGATCCCCCTGTACCATTCTCATACCTCAATGATGCAGTCACCGTTCAAGATCAACTCCATTGTTACGGAACACAGACTAACACGGCGACTCACAAGATCATTCAAGACAACCTGGACCAGAGTATCCATATACGAGAAACTGTTAAGGGACCCCGATATTGCCCATCTCTTGAGTCAAAAGTCATCCGGTTTGGGAACAGAGATAGTCACAAGATATGGCTCGAGCCCGAAGGATTTGATACTGATGTTATATATCCCAATGGTATCTCTATGACTGTACCTGCGGCTGCACAGGATGCAATGCTGCACACCATAATTGGCCTCGAAGACGTCAAGATGCTACAACCAGGCTACGGGGTCGAGTACGACTATGTTGATCCTCGTAACCTTCGATCAACCCTTGAGACAAAGTTGATCTCCGGTCTTTACTTGGCCGGTCAAATTAACGGTACTACCGGCTACGAAGAGGCGGCTTCTCAAGGCATCATTGCGGGCATCAATGCTGGCCTTGCATCACAGGGCAAGGCTCAAATGACCATGGGCCGAGGCGATGGCTACATTGGAATCATGATCGATGACCTCATTACTAAGGGCGTTAGTGAGCCTTACCGCATGTTTACATCTCGGAGCGAGTATCGAATGAGTGCTCGCGCTGATAATGCTGATTTGCGGCTTACTGCTAAAGGACGGATTGCCGGAGTCGTTGGCGATGAACGATGGGATCATTTCTCTACTCTCGCCGCGGAAATGCAAGAAATGCAGACAGTGCTTCAAAATATTCGTATGAGCTCATCTGCGTGGGCCGCGAAAGGGTTCCAAGTCCATCAAAACGCAACAGCACGCTCAGCCTCTGAGCTCTTACGCGTCAATGGGGTTACCGTCGATTCTCTAGTACCGCACGTGCCTCAGATTGCGTCTTATTCTCCAAGTGTTCGGGCTCGTGTGGGTATTGAAAGTGTGTATGCGCCTTACGTCGAGCAGCAGAAGACAGCAATCAGGGTTCTGGAGAGAGATGAGCAGCTAAAGTTGCCAATTGACTTGGAATACTCGAAAATACATGGTCTTAGCACGGAAGAGCTACGCGCGCTCGAGATTGCGAGGCCTGAGAGTGTGGGTTTGGCCAGAAGATGTGAGGGAGTTACGCCTGCAGGCGCCTTGAGGCTGCTAGCTTTCGTCAGAGGAGTTAAAAAACAAGACCGACAAAGAGTAGTCTTTGAAGAGGTGCAATTAAGGAAGCAACAACATGCTGGCCTGTGAGAAGAATGATTTGCGGCAACTCTCCCGAACAAACTGCATGAACCACAGGTCCACGCCGCTTAATTTGGCCTACAGCCGGGTCTACCTCTTTCAATGTTCCGTTGAGCATTGATAGCTACGTACAGGCTGTTCTCCAATTGGATATCGAAAGAGGTTCAGCGGGTTCCCGGAGAATAGTGATCTCTTCGCTCTGGCTTGGGCGGATGGCGCGGTGGTGGAGCACGGATACTAAGAAATCAATGTGACTGTCTTTTCAATATTTGCTAATACTTCGTGTCATGACTCCAGTCGAGGGTCCATTAGCCCAGGGATGTGTGGACGAGTAGGATCTCTCTACCTAGGCACACCTAGACATGTTTCGAAGGATGTACGGGAAATACCCTATGCATCAATCTTGGAGGAAGGGGGAATATGTATATACCCGTGCGGCCGAGAAGTCCATGTTTGATTCTTCCAAACTTTTAAGCGGTCCGGCACGGATATAGCTACCAATCAAAGTATTCATGCGTGATTGATGGTTGCATGACCGAGGTTGATTGGATCGTCGGTGGGTGGTCTACTTCCGTACCAAGAGGATGCCTATAGAGTACCTATCATGGTTAAAGTACTTACTCTATGTACTGTACGGAGTACATACAGTACGGCCGTACGAGTAGCTTCATGCACCCCGCAGCGCTTGTCGCAAGCATCCGATGGGGCGCTATTGCCTTCGGGCCGCTTTCAATTTTGCCGCTCCTCTTAAATGCATTCAGCGTCTCCATTATTACTGTCATTTAAAGTAAAGTAAAGTAATTGATCACGAATGATACTTTTAAGCCTAGGTACTTTATTTGATATCCATTATGTAAGGCGCCACAGCTCCTGCACTCTCCCGCCGATATGGTCCGACTTAGTCTCTTAAAGTACTTTAGACTCCGTTGGAAGGTCAAATATTGGAGAAGACATGGTTTTTCTATTAATCATACATCGCCTCCGATTGGTCAGTCGACATGTTGTTGGACTTTGGATTCTTACTGACCTTTTCCTCAATCTGGTGGTGGAGCTCCGAAACTTACATAGGCATAGTGGCTGAGATGGTGGTGGAAAATGGAACGGAAGAATTGAATCTACGCCATGCCTTTGCCCGCGCCCCGTGAGCAAGATAGAAAAGACTTGCGCTTTCATTTTTGCTGATGAAATGATATTATCATTAAACTCAACTACTCGTCTCTGTCACCACCCGCTCCACATATATTGGGCATATCCTTCAGCGTGCATCTCACTTTCACAATTACCCATTATTCATTACCCATTCTCCCTCTTGCATTTCCCATACACGCGCTCCACTCTTTCACTTGGGTCCATGCTTTGACCTTCTGCAGGGGAGATTCTCCCCAGATTTCCTTACGATGGAGGCAAGAAAGCCCAAGTATTCCCTCTTTCCAGCCCCTCCCCTCTCCAAACCCCTCTCTTCAACTCCAGACCTTCCTCCTGCACCGCAAGAATCGTTGACCTTGAATCCCGAAGACCCCACAACGCGTCAAGAGCGCTCCCCTCCACCACCGGCCGAACCACTGCCTTCAAAAACCCATGACCCGCCGAATTCTCCAGAGCCGTCCCATCCAAACCACCAAGTTGCTCCACGTCCTCAAGAACAGCCACCTCCCGAGCCAGACTCCCCAATATCTCCAAGCGAAATGACGACATCTTCATTTTCCACCACTTCAGCATCCTCCCTGAAACCCGCACCCCTATCCCTACCTGCGCCCCCCCAGCAACCGAGGAACCGCCATAGAAGAGCTTTCGTTCGTCATGGTCTCGGTGGTGCAGGGAATTATCACAAACGACCAGACTCATCACCCAACTCCGACTATTCTGGATTTCTTTCTTCCCTGTTGGGGACTTTCAGTAATAAGAAGAGAAAGACGCGACAGTATCCCGAGAGTGACTCAACAGGGTGCTCGCAGTATAGCGACCAGGCTCTGCCACTTGGGGCGGCGGAGGTCTTGAAGCGGAAGATATTGGGGCAGGCTTCCGCTGGGAAAAGCAGTACGAGCAGGGATCGGAATTGAAGTCTTGCACTATTTCCGGCAAGGATCTAAGTGGTACACATGTGAGAAGTCATCGGAGCTGAAAACTTGTACTTTCTTCAGAGGGTGATCCATTGGCATTGTACAAAAAGACGTGGAGTCGTTATACAAAAGTGGTTGTAATGACCCCCGGAACATAGTCCGGTCGGGGAAAAGCGATCCGTTTGCTTTTATGCGTGGGATATTGATTCCGGCAGTCTCGTCTGCGGTCTGCATTCTCATGGCCATTTCATTTGTTATTCCATGGTCTGTGGTATTTAGGATCGGGGTTTGTCTTGAAGCACGATCTTTTTCACGTTTCGAGGTACAATCCCCGGGGAGGTATTCGTTCCCTCCGCACTTCACGCCGGCAATTGCCCATCCGGCCTCAAGCCTCTTCTCTCCTTCCACTTCTGTTCTATTCCCCAATAATATACTCGCATCCCTCGTCACTCATCCAAACCTCGTGTACCCTGCCGGCCTCAACATCTACTCTAGAGCCCACGCCAAACGTCTCTTTGGTCGGCGTCTCATCTTTGGGATACGTAATTGTAAGTGTACCTCGGCGGATTAGATGGGTCGTAAGGCAGTGATGGGAGTGGGGAGGGTAATGTGCGTTTCTGCGCCAGTGCTTATCAGCTATGATTTCAGGGAGGGGGGAAAGATGAGAGTTGATGAGAAAAGGAATAGAGAAGCATACGGGCCATCAGCCCATGAAAAGACGTGAGAGAAGCCCCAGGATCGTACCTGGGCTTCGGATTCTTTGCGAGAGGGAGGCGCCATCGTGGGGGTGGGAGGTGTGATCGATAGTTATCCACCAAAAAGGTGAAATTAGCGGGGGCAACTTTCGGTCCAAGTTGTACGCCCTCTGACCCTCTGAAAGTGATCTTTCTCAACAACAGGGATAGGAAATACTTCGAACGGCGAGAAGAAAATCTAAGAAGGAAAAAGGTGAAAAAGTACAAAAGTATGACCCGTATGAATAAATAGGTTTTTTACAAGATGATTTATTGCAATGACGGGGACTCGAACCCCGACCTCGAGCATGGGAAGCTCGAATTCTACCCTTGAACTATCATTGCATATTGAAAATGGTGTTTATTTGTCTATATATTTTCTTCTTACCCTGGGTTTGATCTCGCACATCCTTCGAAGTCCTGAAGGCGCAGCGGAGCCACTTATCCCCAATATCACTTGTTTGAGATATTGTGGATGTTGGAATTTATAGCTTCATGATCCCATTCTAAGACGCCATATCACATGCAAAACCTCCTGAACTCGCTCAGATCACAAATGCACTTTCCCAATTTCCCGTAATCAGAACGCCCTGGCTATGCCACTTCACAGTCCTTGCACCTTCCTATAGCTCGGCGGCTTCAGCGTCCTCCTCAGTACTTTTATACAGTACGGCGGTATGAGACTGATGGCAGATATCGCCGCCACCCTCCATGCAAATCCCCAACTCCAAACATAACCTAAATCAAAGTATCCACCCAAGAAGGGCACGCTTCCCACATATATAGCGGCAGTGCCCACTATACTCACGGCCATGATCCAGTGCCACGTGACTATTTCGAAGGCCACCATGATCAATTCATTGATGACTAGTACCGTAAAGCTTACGCTGACCATCCGGTGCGAGTCCAAATTGACGAGGATTTGGCTGAGCCCCTGGATTATGCCACCTTGATAGATGCTGACCGCCACCCAGACGAAGAAGGTACGGTAGCTCAGACTGCTGCCCGTGGTGAGCTCTTTGTACAATTCCGGATAGAGATTGGCTAGCCCTTCGTCAACGTCTTTGTCGAGCACTAAACTGAACACAGGAGCCATCGTATACACAGTTGCGTAGCCAACAAGCAGCCAGTCGCGATACAGAGCGTGCGGTTGGAGCTGGGTTGCAATACTGTAGAACGTCTGGCAGACTGAGATGATTAGACCGCGGTGGATGACGAATTGTGCGAGCTTGGCCGATCGTTTATAGGAATTGCGGCCATGCCAAACGAGAAGCTTAGTGAGGTGGTGAAAGGTGGTTATAGAAAAGTCCGCTGCGAGAGAAGCTTGTCTCCCTTCTTTGCCCACGATACCAACACCAACATCAGCAGCTTGAATCATTGAGACATCGTTACCTCCGTCGCCGATACAAAGAACTCTCTTTCGAGTGAATTGTCGAATGAGACTGGCAATGTCAGCTTTTTGGGTCGGAGAGCAACGACAAGCGATAACGGCCGGCAGGAGAACGGCGACGGAGATGAAGTCATGACGATGGTAAGTCAGGAAATAAGACAATGACTCGCCGTCGATAAGAAGGGCCGTGGTTTCAGGTTTGGAGCGAAGAAGGGATAGGGAATCAAGTGCAGCAGTGGAGCCAGAAGCAGTTGAAAGGTGAGTGATGGTATGAATAAATTGAGTTCGTGAAACGAGCTTTGCAGAAACGGCGACACATCGGGCAGTCTCTACTTTGTCGCCCGTCAACATCCAGATCTTGATACCAGCGTTTCTGAGGAGCTCGAGGGAGGACTTGACGTCCTTCTGGAGCTTGTCTTCAACACCGGTGACGCCAAGGAGCTCCAGGTTATGCTCGAGATAGTCTTTCACAATTTTTGCCATGCTCGAATCCCGGTTTTGTAGAGACACTGAAGCCTGCTTGTATCGCATTGAAAACTCGTTGTACTGCTGCATTGACAGCTTCCTCCTTCCAACGACCAAAGTACGAAGGCCTTCTCGAGCCATATTTGCCGTCTCTTCGTCTAGCCAGTCATTTGCAGCGACGATCGAGGTCATAACCGTATCAGCGCCTTTCTGGTAGAACCAGACTTCTGCCGGACTTTCTACTGAGGAAACGGCAGACTCCGCCCCTTGAGAGAATTGCAGAATTATGCCCATGCGCTTTCCGGCTGATGTGAACGGAAAGACCTCGAGAATCTTGACTCGAACCACAACTCGAGAGGTATCAACAGACTGAAGAGTGATAGTGTGTCGGTCCCGATGCATGAGTCGAAGCCCTACATTCTCCGCCCATCGGACGATTGCGATCTCGTCTGGCGACGAAGCTTGGTAAGTGGTAACACTCTGGCCTTCATGGTCTTCCGTAGATGGTGTAACATTGTGACAAAGTGCAAGCGCCAAGACAAGATCTCGAACCCGGGAGCCAATTTCTCGTCGTGTCCTTGTCGTCGAAGCCCCTGCGGAAGTAGAAGCGTATGTAGACGAAGGTGTGACCAAAGACGCTGCTTGTGTAGCATCGTTTGTTACACCTGTTGAGAATCCCTGGCGAATATAGGTCCGGACTTCATCCATGGCTTCGTTAGCGTATGAGACCGTGCCAACATGAATCTTCTTGAGATCCATCTCGTTCTGTGTGAGAGTACCTGTTTTGTCGCTCAGAAGATACTCGATTCGTCCAAGTTCCTCAGGAATCGTGCTTGTCCTGACTACTGTTCCAGGCATGTCTTGGTCCCGTTCAATGAAACGGGCGTATACTGATTTGCCCATGTCCAGGTTGACTCGAAGACTGATGGGAACAATAGTCGAGAAGAGAATGAGAAACCTTGTTACAGCTACATACCATTGCTGGCCTGGACGGCCTTCGATGCCTCTGATTGCAACGAGAGCGATGGAAAGTGTCAGAGTCAGGGCGCACAGTATCTTGGTGAGATTGTTGATCTCATATTCTAGGAGACCTGCTTTTGATCGTGACGGAGACGTTGACAGAGCTTGCCGCGTTTGTGCACCCGTGTATACCACTACTGCTAGAACAGTGGCATTAGATGCAAGTACCGTATTAGCCCAAGCCGTATTATCTATCGTCAATGGTGCCGTCTTGACAGTGATTTCGGAGTCGTTCACACTTCTTTTGGCTACCCATTGTGCCTTTTGTGGGCGGTACTGAACTGTACCAACGAAATCGTTGACTTCTTTAGAGGGCTTCCCAGCCACAATCTTCAGTCGCGTAAAGTCGCGTGGATCCAGAGACTGTGTCAGAGGTGAAGCAAGACGTAGCTTCCAATCAGTCTCACCGTCAAGCTGATCTGTCCGGATGAAAGTCTCGCCAACTCCACCGGCATCGGCAGAGGGTGTGGAGGCGTCAAGAGAGGTTGACTGGTTTGAATGCTTCCCTGCATTCAAAGTCCTGGCAATGGGAGGCTCTTCGAGAGGTTCTACAAGGGGGCCGGTTTCCTCGGACGACACCAGTGAAGCAGCTGGGATCGAAGGGACGGTGATCGACGATTCAGTGGTATAGCTTTTGAGTATGACAAGGTCCGCGGGTACTCTTTGGTCCTTTCCAAGCTTCAAAATGTCTCCAACTTTAAGGTCTCGGGATTTGATGTCAATTTCATCGACCTCACTATTCGATATGACATTCTGGCTCTCTTCTCCAAGGTTCTCTTCTTCCTCCTCGATGGCGTCAAGACGAGAACCTTTGGAAACACCGCGGGCCCAATTCTTGTTAGACGGAAGCCTCGAGCGGCGCTTGCGTTTTCCTTTGAACCCTGCTGTTTCTGAACTATCTCGTAGTCTAAGCACGGTGTATTCTTCCTTGTTCGCTTCAGCGTCCCTTCTTCTGCGCGCGATATCATCCAACGCCTCTTTACCCAGTGTAACTGCAAGAACAAACGCCAATGGTGCAACATATGTTGAAAGATATCCAATTCGCAAAGGGGGTATAGCTTGAGACAGAGCGACCATGAGGAAATACATATTAAAGAAGAAAGAGAATTCGTTATACAACGTTCGGGGCAGGAAACTCCAGGCCGTGTATTTAGCGTTTGATACAGCATTTGGCGGAAATTTTGGTGGGGGATATTGCCCTATGCTGATATTGCGTGACGTTCCGCCAGCTTGCGTTGCGCCTATCTGTTCAGTAGGAGTGCTCTCGAGATCGGGCTGACCAGATGCAAAGCTGGGCAACCGTAAGTGAGAGGACAAGAAGCCTCGGCGCCCTTCAGTCGTATAAGCTTTCGACACCGGTCGACCATTTGGTTGGAGAAGAGGAGCATCGTCGTCGACAACACCTAGGCTTCCAGTGGAGTCTCCGTGATCGTTACTATCGTGTAGTAAACCCTGAAGATCTTCTTCATCACCAGACACATCAATGCCATGCTTTTGGCGACCAAATCCGCGCGCTCGCCCAACCCGCAGATTTCTTAGAGGTATCTGACTCTCCGCCCGCTGATGCACCTTATATGGATCAGTGTAGATACCGGATCCATGTTCGGCAGTGGCGTGGTCTAGCTCCTGCAAATCAATTTCAATATCTGAGTCTGATTCATCGCTGAGTGGGTCTGGAGCATTGGGCTGATGGTACTGATGGGGTCTCGACATGGTTTCATGTATGCCGTTAACTTGGCCTGAATGGCAGTTGTCACTTGGGTCGAGACCGGGACTCAGATTATCAAAAGAAAGTGGTTTCTAGAACTTGGCATAAGACGGATCATTCTCGGCATCATGTCAGTACCAATACCACAGAGTAGCGGAGTTCGATTAGATAGATCACACACAGAGCTCTCGAAACCACTCCTCTGGTGCTCTAGGCCACTTCTTCTCCGAAAAGCCGAGGTTAATCCGGCACGCTAGCATCTGTCTTCATGGACCATTGGACTTGAGCTTGGATTGGATTTCCAAGATAATCTCATCTTTGCTGCTTGTGCATGGCTGACGTGTTTCCGGGAAGGTTAATATGTACGTTGCATCTCTCCCACGTCAAGGAGAGTCTTTCCTGCTTTGTTGACTCGCCGATGACCCAGAACCTGACAACTGACGGATCCCAGTGTCCTATGTCTACATGCACTCTAGAGAATGATGGATGTGGCGCCGTCGGCCCAAAACCACGAAAATGCACCTGGTTCCTGGCATCCTGCGATGAGGCCCAATTCACATCAACTGGACGAGGCAAATGGGGAGCAGACGGATCAAAGTCCTCCAACGCCATTGCCTTCTGCGGACAACAAGTATGAAGGGGAACCGTTGGATAAGCCACCTGGCGGTTTGAAAGATACCGGACAACCAGAGGATGAAGTGCTTCTACCTGTCGAAGAGGATGACCAGAATACCACAAGCGTGGACAGGACGGCTCAATCAGACATTCGGGTTGACCGTGATCCAAATGACCTGCCAGATGATGTGGATGGGCAAACAGAGTACGCTGAGAAGCAAAAAGCTGGCCTTTCTGAGGGAGCGCTGGGCAACCTCTGGGAAGGTGCAGGAGCTGGCACCAGCTTGTCAGACTCTCACTCTCAATTTGGACCATCCGGAGACAGTCTATCGCACGACTTGTGGCAAGAAGGCAATGGTGCTCAAACAGAATTGGCAACACTCACAGGATTTGCCACGGAGCCAACTGATATTGGGAATGCTCTAGGAGGCAAAGAAGAGATGGCCAAGGCTTGGGACTCGGAGCCTAGCTATGCAGAAGACCTCAGACCAGGCGAAATCAGTCGGACCAATTCATTTCCGCGAGTGCCACCCTTACGGCAGACCGAAATCATCCCATCGCATTCTCTGTCGCATTCGCAAGCAGAGGATATTATGGAAGCCGATAACAGTGCGGAGTCAATCGATCGTCAATCTTCGTTGGACACCTTAACTGCCTCGACTCCGAATGCTGGCACCCTGCTGCGGCCTTTCGATTCAACTGGAGACGAGGATGAGAGCTTTTTCGCCAATCCAAACGCTGTCCACGCGGTCGATCCAATTGTGCAGGCCGACGAACAGTCCAGATTCGAAGAGGGTCTACCGCTGATGCCATCACATTCACCCAAGCATTCTGCTATGAAAGGTTCAACTCGTAGTCCGGATGCACGAAGATACAGTAATGCTGAAGGCGACGACGATAACGACTTCTTCGACAAAACGTCTCTATCACCGTCAGACGAGACATCATCATTCAGGCCGCAAGCCTTGGATCGCAAGTCTACAATACAAGTTCTTGACTCATTACATTACGCGCCCCACAGCGCCACTCATGGAGAACCCCAGAGCACTGAAGAAAGGCTATCGTTGGCTAATTTGACAGGTGGAGGGATTGCGGTCTCTGCGACCACGGTCAAGTCTCAAATTTTTGCCGAACAGCAGATGGATACTACCGAGGCACAGCCAAAGGACGAAGATCTTGCAGAATTGTGGAAGGCTGCTTTGGGTGATGATGACCTCCTTGAAGACAATGAGGAACCCCTGGATCCATCCTCGTTCTTTGAAGATGATGGCGAGGGTTTCCTCGAAGGCAGTGAAAACCAGACAGAAACCCGGATGCAAGCAATACCATCACCCCCAACTCTTGAGCCGGTTCATGGTTCAGATGGTAGGCTGCAGGGGTTTGGCCAGATCAGTACTAGACACTCTTCATCACGTGACAAGTATCTGCCAGTCTCAACTTCTCAATCTTTCACGGTCTCCCCCACGTATGGTTCCGGTCTTAGCAACGGTGCACCGGCCCATCAACCGTCGCGCATAACATCCGACCTTAATCACTCGGTCCCTGCACCGAACGGATTTGCAGACACAAATAGGGAGCATACTTATGCTGCTCAGACGTCTTCTTCAAGACCTCAAATGCCGCCTTCAACGCAGAGCTTTGCAGATAAGTCCAAGGGCGGTTATACATCGCCATACGACCTCCCCATGGATGTAAATCGCCCAAAGAAGCGCACTCCTTACCAGCAGTTGCGTCCGAACTCTGATGCTCAAGTCGCAGCGGCTCGACCTCCGCCGCCAAGAAGTAGCAGCATGTTCACCGGCGCACTGCCACCCCTTCATGCTGAACCCCCAGTCCCGCGTCTCCCCAGCGTAGTGTCATCTGTACCCACAGGTAACGGTTTGCCTCCGCTCAAAGCTTCGCCTAGCATGGGTACCTTTTTCGAAGAATTGCCCTCCAGTAAACCTCGTCCATCAAGTAGCATGGGCCGAGTAGCACATCCGAGTTCTCAGCCAAGTCCACCTCCAACGATGTCACTTCAGCGTGATCCCCCGCGGCAAGTCTCAATGACAAAACAGCCATCTTCAGGGATTTCCAGCTCCTCCCAACAATATCAGCTTCTGCCACCTGAAAGGATGAGCCCTTATGCAAACGTCTCGCAGTCAGAGCCTGTAAGCCAAATTCTGCCAGTAGTCAACGCGAGATACTCTCCTGCTCCGTTACAGCAATCGAACGTTCCGCCGCCTCGGAATCGATATGCTGCATCACCATCACTTGTTGGTCGTCCAGTCCCTTCACAAAACTTGTCTTTCCAACCTCGTACTTCAAGCCCGCTTGCACAGAATAGCGCGTTGCCGCAAGGCAACCATCGAACATCCGTTTCTGACCCTTCGTTGCACCGGCCAATGTCGAGCGGAAGACAAGCCGTATTAGCCCAAGACTCAGTGTCTCTAAGCTCTGACCCGAGCCACCAGAATGCCAGCATCAAGGAACCGAACGCAAAGCAGAATGAGAGCACTGGCAGGCTCGAGAACAACTCACAACTCAGAGACCTGCCTCCGCCTTTGGCCCCTACCCACTATGCACCTCTCAGCAATTTTCCTTCGGACTCATCCTATGTTATTAACACACCAGACGCCGATCGTACGTCGTCGGATGGGTCTGCATCCTTTCAACAGCCTCAAAAATCGCCAACGAATGCCTCTGGAACTTCTGCTCGTGGGCCATCACCTCGAAGATCCCAATCGCAGTCACCAGGCACTGGCAAGTACAACCCAGAGCTGCCTCAAAGCATGCAAAATCAATATCAGCGGCCAGCCTCTGTCAACAACCACGTGTCATTACCATCTGCAGAGAGTAGACCGATACCGAATCAAATGCGACCACGCGAAAGGACCTTTTCCAAGGATCTTACTTACATCAAACCGTCTGATGGTCGGGAAACGGACCATCTCGAGCGCTGGAAAGGATGCCCAATCATTTCTTTTGGTTTTGGTGGTACAATTGTAACAAGCTTTCCGAAGCAGGTTCCTCGCTACGCGGCAGGCCAAAACACACCGATGATCAAGTGTAGCCCTGGGGAGGTTAAAATCTTAGATGGCAAGATTCTTCCTCTCGATGAAGATGTTGCGACCTTTCCCGGGCCTCTGAGGTCCAAAAGCAAAAAAAAGGACGTCCTGGACTGGCTGCAAAGACGAATTGCTCACCTAGAAAGCAGCGGGGCCGGCCAAATCAGAAGCGCAACTCTCCCAGATCCAAGAAAGCGTCATGAGGAAAAGATGTTGTTGTGGAAAATTGTGCGAGTTGTGGTTGAGCATGATGGTGCGGTCGATGGCAACGCTTCCGCCGAAAATGCCATCAGACCAATACTTTCTCCAGAACTGACGGTGGGAGACACTGCGTCCCTTCCTCCCCGATATATCAATTCACCACTTCTGGGCATCTCACGGAACAGTGGCTCTCGTATTATTCCGGATCCCGTGAAGCCAGAGACGATGGAAGGTCTGCGCAAGCTCCTATTGCACGGCGAGCGAGAGAAAGCCGTCTGGCATGCTGTTGACAATCGATTATGGGCTCATGCAATGTTACTAGCCTCTACGCTGGAAAAAAATGTGTGGAAACAAGTATCCCAAGAGTTTGTGCGCCAGGAAGTCAAGACCTCTGGAGACAACACCGAGTCACTAGCTGCGCTCTATCAAATCTTCGCTGGGAATTGGGATGAGAGTATGGACGAGCTTGTGCCACCATCTGCTCGCGCTGGTCTTCAGATGGTAAGTAAGACTGCCACCACTGGACCTACGAAGAATGCACTCGATGGCTTGGACCGGTGGCGAGAAACCTTGACATTGATTCTGAGCAATCGCAGCGTTGATGATGGAAGAGCTTTGGTGTCACTGGGACAGTTACTTGCCGGCTATGGGAGAACTGAAGCAGCGCACATCTGTTATATCTTCGCCAAGTCGCCTGGACTCTTCGGCGGACCTGATGATTCCCAAGTGAGCATTGCTCTTCTCGGGGCCGACCATTTGCAGCGGCCCTTCGACTATGGCAGAGATTTGGACAGCATACTCCTTACAGAAGTCTACGACTTTGCCCGTACAGTGCTTGCACCGTCTTCTGCTGCGACGGTATCACCGCACCTACAGTCATATAAGCTATATCATGCGATGATCTTAGCTGAGAATGGGTACAAATCAGAAGCACAACAATATTGTGAGGTTATCACGAGCGCACTGAATTCGACCACCAAGCGATCACCGTACTACCATAGTCTCTTGTTTGGAGCCTTAGAATGCCTAGTGGATAGGCTTCGTCAAGCACCACGAGATAGTTCTGGATCATGGATATCGAAACCCAGCATCGATAAAGTTTCAGGTTCTATATGGGCGAAGTTCAATCAATACGTGGCTGGGGACGAAAGCGATGCTGCATCCACAGGATCTGGCAAAGCACTCGAACAAGATGTAGGGCCATTCGCGAGAGTTGCTGGCGACTCGCCCAACCTTAGTCGGACTCCATCTTCAAGCGACATGTACACCACTTATGCTCCAGGGATTGGAGTCAGCCCACCAGCCCATATAGGCAATCTTTCGAATTCTCGATATGCGCCAGCTGGTCCTTATATCCCCCGGCCTTCTCTAGAACAATCGGGTAATTCTTCACAGGATCATCAAAGATCAACACAGGCACAGAACGACTCTCTTCGACCAGGGTTTGCCCCACAGCAATACCAATCTAGACCTGTGTCATCTACTGGCTCTTACCCTGAGTCGTATAAACCATCATCTCAGCCATCGAGCTATCCTCCACGTACTGAAAGCTATCTACCAACACCGCCTTCACAGCCGGAGCACATGCGTATCGCTCCGCCCGAAGATCCGTTATTGTCTCTCTACCAACAAGATTCTTATCGGCCGACTCCGCCTTTGAAGCCGGAGCCATCTCGCGAACAGTTTCAGTCCCTACTCCAATCTGAATCGGCTGGGGATTATCAGCCGTCTTCGACGACTTATGAACCTCCATCATACACATACGAGCCCCCTTCGACGAGCGGCTATGAGCCACCGCCTATAGACAGCTACAATCCGCCCGTGTACGACCCTTATGTTCCACAGGCTGGAGATTCCCCAGTTGAAGAAAACCCAAAGAAAAAATCTTCCATGGACGATAACGATGGCGATGACTTCAATGCGCGGGCAGCTGCTCTTCGGAAAGAAGAGAAGGCGCGAAAGGATGGAGAGGCTGACGAGGCCTTCAGAAGAGCCGCCGAAGCGGATGGTATGTATCAACATACCTTCGTCTTCTAGTTCATCTAGCTAACCCTGACACAGCGCAGAAGGACAAGGCGCCCAAGCTTAAGAGCAAAAAGTCTGGATGGTTCGGTGGCTGGCTCGGCAGCAAGAAAGAGGGCGATGCTACTGAAGCCCACGGCACGCCCAATGCACCTATCAAAGCTAAGCTCGGCGAACAAAACTCCTTTTACTACGATTCCGAAAAGAAGAGATGGATCAACAAGAAGGACCCTGATGGAACCGCTGCAGCCGCCCCTGCACCACCACCACCCAAAGGTCCGCCTTCCAGAGTGGTCAGCGCAGCTGGACCTCCTCGGCCGAGTAGTACCGCACCTCCAGCAGTGCCTCCACTTCCCACGGCGATGGCTACTCCGCCTATCAATGTCACTAGGCCGATGACTTCGAATCCGCTATTATCTAACCCTGCATCTCAGTATCCGTCACGAAGTCCGTCGCCGGCCGTGAACGCCCCAACCACTACTGAGGAGGCATCAACCGACCCAAGCGCGGCATCAATGCTCTCGGCTACAGGTCCATTGTCCGGACCGCCTTCGGCTCCCCCATCAAGACCAGCGACGGGAATGAGCGGTGCGAGTAGTATTGATGATTTGATTGGAGTACCGCAGGCCAGGAAGGGCGGAACGGTCAGGAAGGGGAAGAAAGGCAGGGGGTATGTCGATGTAATGGCGAAATAGAGGGCGGAAGACGTTCTGAGCTTGGCTCCACCAAGTGGCAGGAGTAAATGGGCGACGCGTCGTCATTGATGGCTGCTATCCGCTGGAGTATATTATTCGTGGGCAACGGAGTTATGTGGAGTAAGTACCATGTTCTTCAATGTACTTTGCGGGCATCTAAACCCACGGCATTAGGATGCCGTTTGACTTGTGCCTAAACTTCTTATCTGTTCCGTTAAAGTAGATGTGTAAGTGATTATGCTACAGGGTGGCGCAAAGCCAAAATTATGTGACATTGGTGATTATGTTCTGCCATGAAGAAAGAAGTCGTAAGAGCGAATATGCAACGGGTATCTTAGAACATGGATCAATATGAAACGACTTCCGCGCCATGAGTCTAAGCGTATTGAAGAGTATTGGCGCTGTACGTTCACAGTACAGTACCGTTCAGAACAATCTGACTCGGAGGACGCTGGAAGTGACTATCAGCCTAGTCGTCCGTGAGGTCGATGGTCTCGATTGGACGGGAGTTTCGAGAACGTTTTCTGGAGCCTGCGTTTTCTGTGTCTTCCAACTCGCGCTTTACTGTTGCCCGTGAGACTGAGCCTTCAGCTTTGACGTTCCCGGCGCCTTCCAGAAGGGCAAGTTGAGCCTGTTTTAGTATCAGCCTGACTGGTGGTAGCCTCGCTCGATAGGAATGACTGACTCGCAGCTCTCGCAATTTCTGTTCTCGACTAGCGACATCGCTGATGGTTGCGGCAGTCTCGTGCTCAGGGGATGGGGTTCGAGGAATACATCCTAGCATTTGGAGATTGTCTGGACAGGCAATTGATTAGCGCACAGCATAGCAATAGTACGAGTTCCACGGCTCACGCTTCGAACGGTATAGAATGTTAAACGTCAACGGCGCACCCTCCACTCCATTCATAGATCTGATGTCATAGGTCGTGGGAGGCGGTCCACTTGAAGGCAAATGGTTGGCTGTGCTGCAGAGACGTCAGGTTAGAATGTAGACGGATAACACGGTAGACACGTAATACAGGACTGTGTTGACAATAGCTCTGCCCTTCAGTATCTTCTCGGATACCTCAACAATCGGCTTCCCTATCTTATCCTTCGGGGTATGCAGAGGTAGTGCTCGTTTGGTCCTGTGCACGCGGCGGATTGACACTTGTATCTTGCCGAGATCTTTCACTTCGGCCACTGAAGGACCTGAATCAACAGTGTCTCCTGATACGCGATCAGATATCCATCGCCAAATGTAGGGAGCCAAGAGAACCCACTTGTGCTCAAGGCGCCGAAAGTGGTCTCGCCTATGGTCCATTGCTGAGAGTGATTGCAGTAACGTGAGAGGTGTGAGAAGACGTGCTCTGCTGGCTGTCCTTTGCTCCATCGTTGTGAGAGTTCCCAGGTGGAGAAGTCTTTGTACCACTCGAGCTGTTGACCGTCGTAAATGATGGAAAGACGTACACCGTCATCAGGCTGGAGCCGGTACAACGAGAACTTGTCACTCAAGGTAATTCTGACCTTGAAGATGGCATCAGTGACAGCCTCGATGTATCGTTGTGGTGTCCTTGGACTGGGATCCCCATCCGGATCATCGTAGAGCTTGAGAGGTTTTCCCTGGGAGATGACCTCGACAGTGACGCCTTTGAAGAGATGATGCATTCCGTGGTACTTTGATTGGGCGCGGGACGTTTAGGTAGAGTAAATTAGGGGTCAGTTAGGGGTAGTTAGGGTCAGTTAGGGATGAGTTATGGTGAATTGGAGTACTAAGTTAGGGATGACTTAGGGATAAGTTAGGGATAAGTTAGGGATAAGTTATGGTGACGATGGACGGAAGCCTACCTCAAGGAAAGTGGCTTTTGCCCTGGCCCTCCAAAACTGACTTTCTTCGCGCGACTTCCTTGGCTCGCCTGCGCACGTGACTCCTGTACAAAATGGACCTCCACTAACTCCCTACCAGACATTTCTTACATTTCAAGGCAGGGCACCATTTCAAGGACATTATAAGGACGTTTGAAAGTATCCTTTTGTCACGGTCTTTGTCACCTTCAAGCACTTGAGCATCTGGTTCTGTTATTACACTTTGGAATCCAACAGAGTAAAGGAGAACACCCATCAATTTCTGCGTCTTCAATACCGACTGCCAATTTCGGACCACCATCCGGCATACTCACAACCATCCTCTTATACACATCATTCACTAGTTCCTCCCTATATGCTGCTGATTGAATTGGACTCGTCTCCCCTCCCAAGGACTCCGCCAATGTATACCTCCATTTGATACCCCTTGATGAATGGAAAAAGAGATAAAGCAAAACCTTTGGCGTGGCCTCCTGTTATCTATCATGAACACATTCGTCTCTCCCCATCAACCCTAAGGATTTTCCACGGCTATCCTTGTCTACCACCACTATGCTAACCAACGCCTTCCAATCAACTCCATATGTACTCATGTCCACCTCGTAAAGTCCAGACTCATATGAAAATAATTTGGCTCTGCAATGCCGCCCACTGAAACAACGCCCGTATAGCTGTCACCGTCGTATATAGGAGGCGGACCTGGACCCAGTGGGTATGCCACGTTGGCAGATACATTAGTGTTCGCGTACTCCTTCCTGAGTCTGATAATTTCCTTTAGCCGTACCCGCCAGCTCGAGTAGTATTCGCCATGGCCAAGTACGACAGACCAAATTTGGCAGAACAGAGAGGCGCTCAAGGCCAAGTTGCGGACAAAAGTGGGTAGAGTCTCAGCCGAAACGATTTTTAGGCTGGCCGCTGGAGAGAGCTGTGGAAATTTCAAGGAGCATAGTGTCTGCACTTTGTAGTAACCATAGACCTCCGTGGCTGATGACTCCGGCTCGTCTTCTCCCGTCGCTCTTCTCCGCAGCTTTCTCGCTGTTATCAAACGTCCACCACCGGTATGCGCCTCTGGGGTAACTACGATGTTCACAAAGTTCATCTCCGAAGGGAAGGTATTAAAATTGAATGTTCGACCCGAATTGTTGTATACAATCTTCACACGATCGTTTCCGACATGCGCCTTCTTCTTCACACCTTGAGGGTCGTTCTCGGGATCTGTCGGCATCATCGTGGGGACATGAAAGACGATTTCAGTGACTCTATCGCGCCAAGCATAGGTATCTGTGCCGTCAATGTTAGATACACGGTCAAGCCCTTGAGTGTTGAATTTGGCATCCTGAAGCTTGACTTTCGTTCCCAGTCCCGAAAGGAAAGCCTCGTAAGCATCCGTTCCTCGTGAGTTTGCCAGGATTTCTGCTTCGGAAGATTGACCTTCGCCAATGTAGATTACGCCCGCTTTATGGCCATCCACCGTATCAGTCCGATCAAAGTTCCGCAGCGCACGCTGTATAACATCATTGTCCGGTAGAACGATTGGCTGTAAGGGAATAGGTAGCGGTGCAATTGTAGAAGATATTTGAAGGAACATGTGATTTGGATAGACATCGGGAAGCCCTTGGGAATGGGAACTTGAATCGCTCCTGTGTCCTTTGACGTGATGCTCAGGCATCTTGGCGGTATTGTGATAGTAAGACGCGTGCGTTGTGCCCGATGCTTGCCTCTTCGTGAATTGACCACTGTTACTGCTTGGCAAGATCTCCAATGTGAGGATACTCATGCCATCCAACCAGGTCTTTCTTATTGCTGTTTCGTCTGGGTCAACGAAGCGTTCGTCTGGCTGTGTTTCCCCCAGGTCTGAGAATACAGTGCGATGCATCATGTCAAGTATTACTTGGCTTTGCTCTTCCACCATTGGATTTCCTGAATTGTCTTTGCAGGCAAGCCCCTTTGTTATCCATCCAACGTGCCGCGCTCGCCGACTTACTTCAATCGTCAAGAACCAAGAGGTGATGACATGATATGCTAAAGCGGAGACGTATTCCGAGAGACTCGTCTGCGCATCAGAGGCTTGGCTCGCCTCAGCACTTTGGGCAACTTCGCTTGCACTTCCACTTTGACGGCTTGTCTGGAGGCTGGATCGTGTTCCAGCGTTGCCAGTCTGTCCCTGACGCTGGTCCCTCGCGTAGTCTAAGTAACGTATACAGATCCCGAAAACCGTCATGTAAAAGCCTCCATCCTCCGCAACGGCGCCTGAGTGGGCGTCGGGTACCTTTGCGGTAGCGGTAGAGCAGGCATCCGGCAGCCCAGAGAGGCCGCTTAAAAATTCGAGTATATCGATCGCCAAATCGGATTGAGTGATCTTCTGTTGCATTTTCTGGATAATGTTGAACATCCATTTGTCAATGACAGAGGGGATCTCGTGACAGCACAAAGCCAGGGCATGTATACAACACTTTCCAGCGCCGTCCCACCTGTCAAGGCCGTTTGCAAAAGCTCGCACAGTGCTCTCCAATTCGCGTCTACCAAAGTGCTCGTTAAAAGGCAAGAGCATTGTCAGGGTATGATGCAAGCAAAGAACAATGTCACGCGGCTTTATACCTGTCTCTTGTGGTGGCGTAGTGAAAGGCTTATTACCTGTCCTCTCAACCTGGGCGACCACAAGGTTGAGCATTGTCTGAAGTTGCTTGACGTGGCGTGCAAACAGCGAGCGATTACTCAATTGAGAAGGCAAATGTACCAGAATGTAGCTATAGACCTCCCAGTCGCTACCCTCTTCTAGGATGCCAATCACGACGTCGAGCCAAGAACTCAGGTCCAAAACGTTGGGATTTTCTTTACTTGAAAGTTTTGAGTAAACGACCTGACTTGGCCCATGTTGTGGGTCTTCTGGAAGGCCCCTGAACGGCCCATCGTACATCCACAAAGGCTGATTGGGCTGCAGGAAACGCTCCCTAAAGCTGGCAGACCTTGTGGTTGATCTCGACCGTACAGTCTTGAAGCTGTCCACAACGCTGGACCGACCAGTGCGCATCACATGAGGTTGTTCGTATGTCGACGTTCGATTCGACGGGGTGGGCACGGAGTCCTGTGATATGGCCGTGGCCTCTGTCCTGCAAAGGATTGATGCTAATCCTAGACTATCAGGGAATGATACAACCTCGATTGCCTCCTTTGCATCGCATCTCAACCGCGTAAGTAATTTGATGACACTCAGCCTCACGGTAGTCGAATTTGTAGGTGCTGCAAGTGATAGAACAAGGTTGTATAACCTCTTTGTCTTCAGAGAGGATTGCGGTAAAGATCTGAGAAACATCTTAATGAGGCAGTCTACGGTACGGTCAAGCGCTTCAACAGGCGCCGCATGGTCTGACAAGGAAACTTGCAACGCCTTTTCAATCACATGCAGTAAAGGTTGGAAGGTGTCGTTCTCGATGTCGGGACCGCACTGCGCTGCAACCTCGGCCAGGCACGCGACTACTGAGATTGGAAGGTTCGTGTCCCCGCTCAGCATGTGGCAGGCGTTGCGGAGACAATGCTCATACATCGTTTTTTTCTTGGCGTCGAGCTTCAATGTTGGAAATAGTTGTTCGAATAACCGAAGGACCAGACAACTTGCGTCTTCGGATTGAGAGGCATCCATAAAAACCTTACTGAACACCATTCGAAAGTGGGGCATCCAATTTTCGTTGCTTAGATCCAGTAGGCCCTGGATTCGCATGGCATTTATGGCGTCCTTCCAGACGGAGGGCACACGTAACGCCATGAGGACAAGAATATTCGTAACAGCCGCCAGCTTTCGCTGATCCAAGGACTCCCAGTCTGTTTGTAGAAGGAACATGATGCGCCTCGCCATATCTTGTAGCTCTGTGGATATCTCGCTTGTGATCTCGCGTTTCAATGTTTGATCGCTTAGCATCAACTTGAAGAGCGGTGAGGAGGAGCTGACGTCCTCACGTGTCGTAAGCGTCGATGGCACTCGGACGCTCTCCTCAAGCTTCTCCCCCAGAATACTCCAGTCTTCTCCGCCAAGGGCATCGGCAACATGCTCATTGAAAATGAGTGAGTTGATGGTTCTCAGGGCATCAATATCCAGCTGTGCATCCAGTGTATGTGCATTCTTGAGTCCTTGTGCGAGCGACTGGATTTCGTCGATGAGTACGCCCCCAAGACTACTGTCCCCAGCGACGCGCCTTATTGTAAGCAATGCTCCACGAACAACTGCGATCGTCCTCTCGATACTACTATCCTTTGGCGGATCGATCAACACTTTCAACAGTATGCTTTTCGTAGCGGCTTGATGACTCGAATTTAGAAGATGGGAGAGACAGCCCCACACCCCTTTCTCAAATTTGGTCTCTTGAATACCATATACGTTGCAGAGCACGTGGATACAGGGCTCTAACGCTGATGCTGGAAGCTGCCCATTTGCTATGATGGCTAAGAATATCTTGAGAGTACCCCGAATGTCTTTACGCGATCTGGCTGCGAGGGCAATTGACGTAAGTCGCTCGATCAAAAAATTCAATTGATCATCGTAGAAGACTTCTGGGTGGTGTACAAGGATGTCGGCAATTAGGTAAAACGCGCGTAATAGACCTGTCTCCTCACCGCGTGTTGACTGCTTCAGGCTATCTTTGCTGGAAAGCTCTCTGCCAGAATCATCATCACCACTCCGACCCGTGCCTCTTGCTAGACTTGGGATTTTTCTGTTCGGCTCAGCTTTTATTGGCCCATTTCCGGCACGAGACTCCCTTGCACGTTCCGCAGCCAGAAACCACCCTTCTAGCGACTGATTGAGAAAAATAACAAGCTTAGCTTCAAAAGGATGGAGCTCTTGACCGTCTTTTGTCAATCGTTGCAAGGCTGATATCTGTAGACTCGCCTGGGATGGATCCACCGGTGTAATTATCATAGAATAGAATCTCTCCCTCTCCTTCAAAATCCCTGAATGAGATACGGAAGCTTTCAAAAGGGCAAACCCAGCTTTGCGGGCTTCCAGAGGAGCTTTCTCCGTGGTCAAGTCTTCTGCGACGGTCCATATGTCCAAGAGAGCATCGGCGGAATACAGCTTGATCTTTTTGGAAATCTCATAAGCTGCCGCGTTCCTCTTCTCGGCTGGCAGCGTCGGGCCGAGTTCATGTAAGCACCTCGCTTTGAAAGCATCCTCGGCATTGACATATCTACTCTGCTTATTGCTTGATGGGCTTCCTTGGGTTGTGTCAGGACTACCACTGTGCGCCCTTCCCACTGGGCTTGGACTTCCGGGCCCAATGGTTAAAGATTTGATTCTCTCATTCAGCGAAGGAGAAGAGCCATTGTTCTGGCCTCCATCAACGCTTTCTGGGTTCATGGACACAACTGGTCTTGGTTGTAAATGTTCCTCCGAGAACAGTAGTGGCAGTACCAGGCCCGAACAGCTCCCCTAAAGCTTTATTCAGTGTTAGCTGGTATACGATATGACAGGCATGGTATCTAAAACACGAATAGAATGTTGGCAGTATGGGGTGAACGAGGAAGCTCGAGAGAGCATTGGGGCATTTTTGTAGATGGGGGGCTGCTAAGGGGGTAGATATGAGATACGCAGCGCGAACCGTTCTTTTTGAACAGAGTGACCTACCACAAAATCATCTGGCTCAACACCAAACAAAGAGAATGTTCAAGTAAAACGGCTTGAGACACTGTGTATTCAATACATTATCATTCAGCATTGGCCAGTCTTGTTACATATTCCACAATATATGTCCATCTCCAAAAAACTCTCAATCTCTTATTCACGGTTGTTCGTACCAACCAGTCGAGACTCCGATCACTTGTCAGAACAATGAAGTTTATTGCCCTTTTTCATGAATGACTACTGATCGAAGATACTTTAAAATTAGTTTTAGGTACCCTCGGTACTGTACTCTCAAGTATAGTAAGTAGCACAGAGGTACATTGAGTAAAGTAGCTATTGGCGCGTATCGCGCCTATATACGGTGACCATAAGCTACATCAGACGCAGCTTTCAAAAAGTTTGTTTGTTACAGCTGAACTGAGCTTCTTGAAAACCAGGTCCAACACACTGAAGCCGTTGGACCATGGCTGTGGACCTTCCGGGCCTTGCCCAAATTCTCGAAGCAAGCTTAGATCCCACGCAAAACAAACAAGGTCCGGTACTGTCCCTTCAGCATCTGTATTGCCAGGCTAACTCGCTTGTGTAGCGGAGCTTGCTATCCTGCACGAAGAGAAGAAGCTGAACTTCTCCCTGTCTTTGCTGCAAATCGTAGCCACACAAACCTACGGACCTACTGCTCGCCTAGCCGGTGCTTTATACTTCAAGAATTATATCAAGAGAAGTTGGACGGTGAGCACCTAGTTTAGTGCTACGGATCTGAGATTTCGTTCGGCTTATGCGGTGACTAGGACGAAGATGGCAATCATAAGCTGCCTCAGAATGAGGTTACAGCCATCAAGCGCGAGCTCATTGGGCTCATGATCTCAGTGCCCCCAAATATCCAGTATCAATTGGGAGACGCGATTGGTGTCATAGCGGACAGTGACTTTTGGGAGAGATGGGACTCACTGGTGGATGTACGTTGTTGAGCTACTTAAGTCTAGACCCGCGTAATGCTGAAGCTCGCCCAGGACCTTGTATCCCGTCTGACGCCTAATAATACTGCGACCAATAATGGAGTGCTCCAAGTCGCCCATTCAATTTTCAAGAGATGGCGGCCTCTGTACCGGTCAGACCCCTTATTCACTGAAATTAATCATGTATTGGGCAAGTTCGGGAATCCGTTTCTAAGTCTGGTTCAGGTGAGTCAATCTACGTTCACCAAAGGTACACCGTGGAGGAGATTGAACTAATATTGAGGTTTTAGAGCACAGACGCACTCATCGATCAAAATCAGTCAAATAAAGCGATGCTCTTGCAGCTATTCGCAACCCTAAATCTCATTGTTAAGCTGTTCTACGACCTCTCAGTCCAGGATCTACCACCAGTCTTCGAAGATAGCCTCCCCGCAGTGACCTCACTGCTTCACAAGTATCTCACATACGAGAACAATCTGCTACAAACAGACGACGATGGTGAAGCAGGTCCTCTGGAGCACGTCAAGTCGGGTATCTTCGAGGTCTTGGAGCTGTGGATCAAGAAGTACGAGGACGCCGTTGGCGTACATGTTGGACAATTCATATCAAGCTCCTGGAATCTGCTCACCACCGTGGGTCGGCAAACTAAAAACGACATTCTGGTCAGCAAAGCGCTACAATTTCTGACTGCTGTAACAAGCAGTACCGAGCATGCGCAGGCTTTCAATGACGATTCCACTTTGTCCCAAGTCGTTGAGCGAGTGATTCTACCTAACCTGACATTGCGAGACTCGGATATGGAACTCTTCGAAGATGAACCAATCGAGTTCATCAGAAGAGACCTTGAAGGTTCTGATAGCGACACTCGGCGACGGGCAGCGACGGATTTCCTCCGACAGTTGATGGCAAAGTTTGAGGGTATGGTCTCGACGGTCGTCCTTCGATACATTGACCACTACTTGTCCGACTATGCTCAAAACCCTGCTAGTAATTGGAAGTCGAAAGACACTGCCGTGTATCTGTACTCATCAATAGCTGCCAGAGGCACTATCACGGCCAGCCAAGGGGTCACAAGCGTCAACTCCTTTGCGAACGTCATTGAATTCTTTCAAAACAACATCGCTGGGGATCTGGTCTCGGACACTGGCGTTGAGCCTATTCTCCAAGTTGACGCCATCAAGTACCTTTACATGTTCAGGAGTCAGATCACGGCAGCACAATGGCAAGATGCCTTTCCTCTTGTCGTTAAGCACTTAGGTTCCTCGGATTATGTTGTGTACACTTATGCTGCGATCGCTCTAGAACGCACCATGGCCCTCACCAACGCTTCCAAACAACCAATAGTCAGCAGGGTAAGCGTCGAAGCTCTTTCAGCGCAACTCTTGCGGCATTTGTTCGGCTTGATCGAGAAAGATCCTGAGCCTGCGAAGCTGCAAGAGAACGAGTTCTTGATGCGGTGTGTTATGCGAGTCCTTATTGTCATCAGAGAAGCTGTCGTGCCTATAGTGGACGAAATCTTGACACATTTTGTGAAGATTACGCAGGTCAGTAGTCAAAACCCGAGCAACCCCAGGTTTTGTTACTACCTTTTTGAGGCTCTCGGAGCTTTCATTCGGTAAGACCTCGGCAGAATGCCCGAATTCAATGCAGTGCTAATGACTTGTATAGATTTAGCGCTCCTTCGCAACCCGACAAACTCGAAAATGGTCTATATGTATCATTCATTGCTGTGATACAGGATGATGTGCAAGGTGAGCTTCGTTACATCCTTGACCAACATCGATGTGCTGATTCAGACCAGAGTTCATACCATACATCTTCCAACTCTTCGCTGCTCTTCTCGAAGCCAACCCATCTGGATCGTTATCAGACTACTACAAGAATCTGATACCTCCACTACTCACACCCGCATTATGGGCACCAAAAGGCAATGTGCCAGCCCTCGTCCGTCTCTTAACCTCTATCATCTCGCGAGGTTCGTCCGTCATTGCGCAAGACAATCAGATAGAAACTGTACTGGGTATATTTCAAAGCCTAGCATCTACCAAAATCAATGAAACCTACGGGTTCGAGCTTCTAGAGAGCACAATTGCCAATTTTCCTCCGTAAGATGTTTTACGCGCGGCGAGACTTTCGTACACCTACTGACCAGTTTCCTAGGTCAACGTTGGAGCAATACTATCCTTCCATACTGAATGTTCTCCTCAACAGATTACAGAATACGAAGACGGAACCTTTCGCATCGAGATTCGTTCGACTATACCATTTCATCTCCGCAAAGGACGACAAAGGCCTTGGTGCAGACTTTTTCATAAGCAAGCTAGATCAAGTCCAGGATGGGTATGTATTCATCGAACATTATTCATTGACTGATTTTTTCTTCGACGCTGACTTGAACGATTTAGTCTTTTTGCTCCCCTGTACCTCAACATCATCCTTCCAGACACACAGAAACTGTTACGACCCCTTGATCGAAAGACTGCAGTCATCTCTTTCACCAAGACTTTGACCGATTCTGTCGCCTTTGCAGAGAAATACAAGAAAGGCTGGGCGTACACTTGTGAGGCTTTGCTCAAGCTCCTTGAAAATCCCCCAATACCCGCGGCTACGGAAGAGACAATTGTGGAGCAAGATCCTGACGACATGAGCTTTGGTGTGGGTTTCACGCAGCTTACGACCATCAAGCGACCAATCCGAGACCAGTGGCCTAAAGTTACAGACGTGAAGAGATGGGTTAGCGAGTATGTTCGAGCAGCGGATGCAAGGCAGAATGGAACGATAGCTTCGTTTGCACATGAGCGACTATCAGCTGAGGTGGCTCCTCTATTTGCAGCTTATATGCGAAGATGAGCAGGGTCGCGAGAGTTTGTTGTGCATGCTGGCAGCAGGACGAAGGATATGATGTATCTCATTCATTGTGTGAAACGTGAATCTTGCATAGAAAGATCAAACGCGATCAAAAGCGCTGGCCTTTACGAGGCCTCTTTAGATAGATTACATACCCCTGCTTGCGTGAAAGTGATCAAGTCAATGATAGCCAAGTGAGCGAGTTGAGATTCCAAAGCGATCCCCCTGGTCCTTCAATCACTTTGAAGTTTGAGGGATCTGGCGGTTAGGATGTCTCAATTCCGGGAGCCGTTGTGTATCTCCTGGTCCTTCAATCACTTTGAAATTTGAGGGATCTAGCCGTTGTGTATAATACGTATGACTTTGAAATTTTCGATTTGATTGACATGTTTGATCACCTACTTGTCGTCAAATTGGTGTAGAGCGCGTGTGCTGATAAGCGCCTGGATAAAGTCTTTCAGGGCCAGACACGTTTCATTCAATTAATCAAGTTGATCTTCCCGTCCCACACCAATGGGCCAATAGCTATACTCACCATGTTACCGCATGATATTGGTCTGGGACACCCTTTGTCGACTCCCACGTATTGGAGGGCATTAGGGATGGAGTCTGACTTCTGACATTTGTGCCGTGACCTCTGAACATTCTCGACCAACCATTTACCGCGTGTGCTCGGAAACCCTGGCCAAGCTACTGAGTCCCGAGATTCCCCAACGTTCATACGCCTTATCGGCGGCTGTACTCGTAAAGGCTGCAGACTGTGCTCCCGTAGGAAACCCCTGCTCATGTTGAAAGGAGTCTCATTCTCTTAGCGCGCGGTATGGACTTTGGACCGGCATACGGAGATTGAAAGGAGCCTCCACTATGGGAATTGGCATAAAGCCTGCATTTCCTGAGAGCTTTCTTCACAATCTCGGCATCCCATTATCATGTGCAGCAGGCTCTACGTATAATCAGGGTACGTTGGAGCTAGTCCATGAGGAAAACCCAGTGCGTGCTGAGTAGCTGATCACTTCCAGATATATATTCTGTGAGAGTCGACTAGTCTCTCACCCCACGTTCATTAACCACATTCGTTCAATATCAGTCATTTCGAAAATGTATCGTCTACCCAGTCTGGTTATTGTGCTTTCCCTCGTTCTATTTTCTTGGAGCTGCTGGTCAGCTCCATTGAGCGCTGCTGTTGTTGAAAGAAGCGGTGTTCTTCCAATTCTGGCAGGTAGTCCAGTAATCTTTGGTCAAGGCACATATCCTCGGGCAAACGATCTTTCTGGTCCATCCTTGCCCGCTGGTAGCATCATTGGCGCCTACACTGCCTTCAATGATGGTGATAACGTACTCAAGATTGTCATGAGCACCGACAACGGCACTTCATGGCAAAGTATTGGAGAAGTCACGAGAGGGTCATCGACCGCAAACGACATCGACAATCCATACGTCCTCCAACTTCCATCAGGCCGCGTTCTCTGCACGTTCAGGAACCACTCCAAAGACCCCAATACTGGAGTCTATTTATTCTTTCGCATTACCGTGGCCTACTCAGACGACTTGGGCAAGACGTGGACATTTCTAAGTACCCCATCCTCGGATCCTGGACCTGTCAACGGAAACTGGGAGCCTTTTCTCCGTAATGCTCAAGATGGCTCGCTACAGCTTTACTACTCTCGTGAGAATTCCGCTGCAGATCAAGACACACTGGAGAAATTCTCCACTGATGGCGGTCAAACATGGACAGAGGCCCAAACTATTTCCGGGGCTGGCATAACTTCACGTGACGGTACGTAAATTTCGCGGTACATCCTCGATTGGCACCAATCTCTGAGCCGCGTGCCATGTTTGGGAAGCAAAAGATTTTTGTTGTACCTCTCCAGATTGTTTTGTGACCTAACCTCATCGCATGGATCAGGAACGTGCTGACCTCCAATTCTGTGCAGGTATGACAGGGGTGACAACTGTTAGCGGGACGGACTTGAGGGCAGTCTTTGAGAGCGAGGTAGAAGGAACCTTCAGTGTCCAATCCATCACTTCTTCCGATGACGGCAAGACCTGGGGCAACCGCAGTACTATCTATACACCAGACAGCCCCAATACCTCCGCCGGCGCACCACAAATCGTCAACACGGGCGGTACACTCTGTGTTAGCTTCATGACGAATGAAGATTCCACTCTAGCTGCTCCTTCAGATGGCTATACCACGAACACGGCAGCAAAATTAATTACAAGCGGAGACGGGGGGCTGACTTGGGGTAATAAGATTACTGTCGGTCAGGTTTTGAGTGTGTGGCCAGGTCTGTATGCTCTGGAAGGAGCAAGCTTCCTGATGTTGTTCGACAACGGAGGGGCAAAAGCCCAAACTATTGCTCTGAATTAAGCGCAGGTCTCCTCGAGGGACGGGCGTAGTCTGATCGCAATTCCACGTTATATAGCCCATTAATGCCATTCAGAACATCGATTCGATCACGAAGCTGGCTTTCCTGAAACCGTCCTTGCCTCTCGTTCCAGATCTGTGCATCACAATGGAGCATGACATCGATTTCCAAACCTTTAGAATGCTGACCAATTCGACCTCTCCCGAGCTCTTCGATTCGTCATAAAGCTTCCTCTTTGACCTCTATGTCCTATATCTCGCAGCAATGCCACCCGTGACTTGAGAATCACGTCGGTCTCGAGCTCCGAATTCCGGAAGACCGAAAGAGAGACTTTGTACAGTTCATGAAGGTTTCGTAAGCCGAAAATTCCCATTGTCGCAATCGCAACACCTCAGATCTCGTGGAGTTTTCAAGACGGTAGCGAAAATACTGGGGGTTGCTATGTGTTGGTATCCAATCAGAAAATCCGAATAGAAGCTTCGCATGCCCAGAAGCGCGAAAATTTGCTCTCAATATGAGTAATTTTTAAAACATGATTATCCCATTCTCTCCCAACTATGCATCGGCATACTCTCGGATTGTACTTCTTTCTGCGAGAGAACAAGAACCATTCTCTGACTCTACTGATCGAAAAACCGTCTCCAGAGCTGCCACATTTCCTGCCAAAATGTTCATATCAAACTTGCCCTTCTACGTCCTCAAGCTCCGTTGCAAAGGGCGCCGAATCTTCTCGAAGACAGTGCCACGATGCCCGAAGTACGCTACGTACTGAACCGACTCTCCTCTAGAAACCCGCCTCATCATTTACGAAGGCTTCTATCTTGACATCTTGCTCGCTCATCGGTCTCTCGGAACAGATCATTCATACCACACAGCCACGGTGATTCCGATACTGTCAACCGCAAGTCCCACGTTCTTGGCCCCTCCTGTCCGGCTCCATCAAACTACGTCACGAAGCTTTGCACCTCTACCCGGGACGCAACACCTTCGTCCTTACCCCTGGCCGGCTGACTTACAACGGGGACTTCGTCAAGTCACTGACCTTGGAGCAACTCGCCTTGATCCGAAATGTCGATATACGCTTCTCTTAGCCCACGCTACGTGGTAGACTCGTGTTACCCTCCACAGGCGAGCCAGGACTGGTCACGGATCCGGAACACCGCGCCAATCGAAAGTAAGTAGGCACCAAGATTGAAGTGTGGGAAGAGGCGTACAGAACGATTGCCAACATCGTACCACGTCCACCACACATCAATTTCAACTTCATAGACGCCCAGTGCACTTGTGGCCGTACCCAGGGGGTTGTTCGGTATATGGGCAGATGCGGTCCCATTTTGCCAGATGATTGGACCGCGAAGGCAGCACCCCGCGAGAAAGTTATTGAGTATGTCATTCCTGGTGACGCAATGAAGCTGAGGTCGTGGCAACAACGCCAAAGGTTTGGGTCAGGTTGAGAGGAGGTCATTGTACATGTCAATGCTGCTGGGCAGGATATACGTATGTAGTCGGTGAATTCGCAAGGCTCCGATCATCGCTGTTGCATAGAAATAGAACCTTTCTTGCCTACCCACTATGTATGCTCAAGGGGATGTTAAATGGTAGCTGAGCAGATCAGGCATCGACGAAAGCGTCAACGACTACGTTCATCTGGCTACAATCCTACCGTTTCCTGCTAAAGTCTCCAAGAGCGAGGTTCTAGAATATTAAAGACTGAGTACAGCCCATAAATTGTCCCATATTTGACGGAATCCTGTAGATGATTTTCGTAAGATCAGACGTGAAATCCATTCGTACCAAACTGGTAGCAGAAAAAATGGCTACCCTGGAAATGACGGCCTCTGGCCTCAATCGTGACTCTGACGGGCTCCAATCAGTCACAAAAGCCTGCTATCGTGCCGACAGCAATACCGGCTTGTTCGCTCGTGCTGAGGCTAGAGGGTGCTGTTGACGGAGCCGCTGGCAGCTGAGAAGCGGATGTGGACGTCACGGGGGCGGACGAGGACGTAGAGGCAGACGCTTGAGTGGTATTGCTTCTTGAAGCGCTACTTGTCGAAATTGGTATCGTATGAGTATTAGCACTGTGATAGCTGCTTAGAAGGGCGGCCACGGTTTGTGGAGGTCCGTTGTTTCGATGATTTACCTCCTGAACTCCTTGTCCATTGAAACAACAGGTTTGATTGTCCGGATTCGGGCAGATCGAGGCAATTGGTAGTGTTGAGTGTGAAGTTGAAGAAACCACCGTGGTCTGAAGTTGCACCATTAGACCGAGACTTGTCCGAGGGCATGGCGCGCCGGCACGCAAGACGAACCTAGTGGTAGGGGACAAGCTGGATCTTGCCATCTCTTGTCTGTACAGCTTCCTACACCCCAACTGCCAACCCTGTTGATACAGTAAAAGTCTTCTGCACAATAGTAACTGCCCCCCACAACAGGTGCTAACATTTGCTGCTGGATCGCAAGGAAGATCGTCGGCTGGGCTACCGACATCGTAGTAGCAGGTCTTTAACTGGCCAAGGCGGAGTGGAGTCAACAGGGCCAACAGAGCGAGGAGACAATAGAGCGTTGGCCTCTTCACTGTGCAAAGGACCTGGAAGAACGGCCTCGGTTCGACGGACTGTAGAGTAAGAAGGGGGGAAGTGCCCAAAAGTGGACAAAAAAGAAGCCATTGCCTGCGTCTTACCAGTAGCCATTCTTGAAACATTGCCTGTAAAGAGCTAGCTCAAGATCTTCTTTTGGGCTATGTCTCGGAACGGTCAACAGCTGTCACGGGTCTTGCCTTCGACTTTCATAAAACCTTGCCAGTGTAGCAAACAGACTGTCGTGTCAATAGCTGCAGGCTCAGGTAAAATCCCAAACAGTGTACCGTCTTCATTTGGTAACCGTTCCGAGAGCAAGGTACAACCGCCAAGATTCCTGTCATACTTGCTTTGTTTCTGAACCCTATGGCGAGTAGCTGATGTGCCGCTGTTGAGCTGTGTAATCATTATTCGCTCTTCTGCGTTTCTCGGACGCTCTCTTTCAAGACACTGCTCCCTCCAGATTTTAATGTCCCTCCGGATCCTCTCTTTTACGGTCCTCCCAATATTTGACCTCCTCGTCCTCTTCGTAACCAATTGCTCATCCCCAAGCTCAAGACTAGCAACACTGGTCTAGACACTTCCTGTTTGCGAACCCAAGCTCGGCCAGTGTGACACAGCATTCTCTCTATCCATCCCTTGGCTAATTCTTTGCATGTTGTAGCGTTTCATAGACACCGAATACTCCACTTGACTCGACGAGCTGCCAAACAGGTTCGCGGATCTGGGCGTTGGCATGATTGGATCTAAGCACAATGACCGTTAAAACCCCCGTCGAGTTGGCTGCGAGTAGGACGCGTGGACTTTAGCAATTCATGCGACACATCAGAAGCATCCTCTTCGTTAGATCAAGTCCCGACCTCAAATTTTTCGAGCGACAAGGGCTGCAGCTTTCCCCGGCTGGCCGCCCCTAGCTGCACATCTTGCTTTGATGCGGATCCCAAGGCATGTCCACCCAATTCGTTTTTGATCATGCAAAGTTGGGCTACTGTGAACCTGAAAATACAAGCGTGCAGTGAGAGGTATCGAAAGCCGGTAGAGTTTGGCTGTTCTCTGAAGTCTTCAATGAACGGACGCTCATAACCAGCCCTTTCTACACACGTTCCTCCTTTACCTTTTCCTCTACAGGTTCGTCGCTGTCATCTTCAACTTCCTCTTCCTCATCCTCTCTCCCCTCCTGCGAAGTCTTGTATTTTCGCTTCGCCTTCTTTCTCGCGCTAGCCTTCTTCTTTCGCTTGATATTCGCCTTCAACGCCGTCCTGCTTTCAGGGCCCTTCTCTGCAGCCTCAATCTTGTCTGCGAGTAGACGCCTGGCAATCTTTCGGTTCTGTGACCGTGATCTAGTGGCTTGTGATTTTATGGTCATGCCAGTGGGGACGTGCTTTAGTTGCACGGCGGACGCAGTCTTGTTCTAATGCGACGGAGAATCATCAGTCATTACAGTGTAAGAAAGGCGTTCCGTAGAAAAGCCAACACACAATTTTCTGGCCTCCAGGCCCGCTGCCTTTTAGGAAAGCTTCCTCAATGTCTTCCTCCTTGAGGACGAGCCGAGGGGGCATCTGCGCTGCGGCCGCAACATTCTGCGAGCTAAAGTGTCTTGTCACAAGACGGAACGGTGGCTTGATTGATACCAAGGTCGATCTGGAGGGTTTGAAGAGGAGCATGACGACAGAATCATGTTTGACCGACTGTTAACAAAGTGTGGGACTGGAGCCTATAGATTATATTACTAGATCTGAATGAGGATTGAAGGCAATGTGCAGAACTTGCTTGGTCCTCACATGTGAAGGAACAAGGAGCGGACCGGTGCCAAGAAAGCGGAGCGGAGATTGGTCCTCTCCGCAGAGGACCCTCCATCTCTATTGTTCATTATTTCCCACACCGGAGTTACATTTCTACATCTCAAGGGCAGTCACCATCAAGTACTCCCTCCCTCTATGTTCTTTCCGAGTCTACACCCGCTCACTAACTCCCTGATTCGTTGCATAGTTGCTGATTATTGGCAACACAAGGAGACCCGAGAGTCGCGGCATATACACAATTCTTCTTCCGCGATGTTATATGCCTCGAATTTGATTCGATGGCTGCAGCGCAAACGCTACCAATATGAGGTCACTTTCTCGCTTTACATGCTCACGCCCACCGAGAAGTTCATCTTCAGTACGTTTTCCTTTGCCGGTCATAGAGCACAATTTCGAGAGCAGGCCAAAGCCTGAGGTTCCCATCAAGTTCCCCGTTGCTGTCTCTACTGCCGAATTTGCGGCTTTGCTCTACTATCTTCCACCTTGTTTTCATTGCCATTCAAGCAAGCGTTGACCTTTCTCTGCAGACACATTCCTCCTTCTCTTCATTTCAATGATCATCGTCGCCGCGTCGCTATATCTCCCTGAACACGTTATGAAAATGGCTAGCAGAGCATGGTTCTA